GTGAGAGAGAGAGTACCCTGATTAGTCTGGCAGCATCAGTGTCAGACACTCAGCAGGGCGTCCACAGCTCAGTGTGTGTGTGTGTGTTATGTGTATATTCAAGCATTTGTATGGCTGCCAGTTTTTGCTCTCTCCCATTTCTTTTCTTGCAATTCCTCTCTTTCTCACTTTCTTCATCTTTTCTATGTTGTTCTCTAAGCTCCAAAAACTCTGATCCCTGCATTCGTTGAGTCTGGCAAATGACTGTAGGGGCTGACAATCCACTGTCAGCATGCGCTGCCACAGTCAATAACGCTGTCCCATGTCACCGCACTACACTGGCTAAAGCTCACATTTCTTATCCCTCCCAAAAACTGCTGCTTAACAGCCCTTTTCTGCCAATCCTGCTAAATGTATCGCCATATCCCCCTCGTATCCCCCCTCCAAAACTCCACCCTGACATGTTTTTGGTTCTCCAAATGACCAGGACATCCTTGGGTGAAGTGATCGCTGCATATTTTAAGGTCAAGAGTAGCACCCAGTGAAATCTGGGACCAAATGTGATGTGCTTTTCACCATGCCCCTGAATTCAAAGCAAGTGGTGGGTGACTGATCTAGCTGTCTTACTGTAACAAGACAGGGTCATGTAGGCTCTACTCAAATACACACTCAAATTGCATACACGCATATACACGCATGCATGCATGGGGTGCAGTGGAGCTCAGACAAGTGTTACCAAGAAATCGTAGTCTCCACGATAATCCACTTCTCCTCTATCGTGTTCCATTAACCTCACAGTGGTCACACACACGTGCTTCTTCTCTTAGTCCACACAGGCGCTCCACACACACACACACACAAACACACACACACACACACACATGCGTCTGTCAATGTCAGGGCCTGTGTCGTCCAGCTCCATTGTATCTGCATGAGGCTGAGATAATGGCATCTGTCGCTGCTCCTTTTGTCAGCGCTGTCCTCAGCCCCTGCTCACTGCTGGTCCCCATTAGCTGGCTGCTGGCCCGCTGGCCCCTCCGCTCCACGCTCTGCTGCCTGACCAAGAAAATACAGGAGACGGCTGTCCCTTCATCTAACTCCCACTTTTGTTATCCTACCCTCTCCTGTCCTTCTCCAGCTCCTCCCACTGCTGCAGATTAACGGTAGTCGAGTGGTTAGGTAAACTGGAAAGGTGTAAACCTGTGTTAAAGAGAACATTTAATGGCAGGTGTGTTTTGGTTTCATAACAGCTTAGACTCAATTGCAAAAGAAGCATCAAACTAAGTTTTCTGGAAGTGTATCAGCTATGTGAAAAAATAATTTTTTTAAAAGATTATTTGAAAAGTGGGATTTTCTCGGTTACACAATATTTTCTGACACCCCATTTTCCCTTGATATTTATGATTTCTTTTGCTCCAGCATTTTCCAATACAGGTATTTATATTTTGTGTTGTAGATGAATCAACCATAAACTCTGGATCTGAAGCTAACAGTTATTTTGATTATTGAATGTGACAATTGTTATCAATCAATCAATTAATCATTTGGCCTATTACAGGTCACAAAATAGTAAAAATGTCTGGTCAACAGTCTCCCAACTGAGAAACTGGAGCAAGGAAATGTTTGGTATTTATGATGGAAGGATGACTTAAACGATTAATTGATAGTTGACGATCAATCAGTCAATTTCTGTCAGTAGACTAATCCATCAGCTCTAACAGACTTCAATTGATCTGAAACCAAAAAAAAATGTCTTCAGTCCAATTAAAGGCCGTTTTTAACAGGAGGAGGGTAGTAAAAAGAAATGTGTCACAGGTGGAAATTGAAACACATCAAATAACATCAAAAACACAAAAATGTTTGGCTCACAATACCTCATTATTTATGTATAAAGACTGTCCAAGTTCCTCCAAAGTTAACAGCTAAATTTGAACGTCTGGACTGCTACTGTAATGTCTATACCCGTTTCACAGGCTAAATCTTTACCACTGGGCATATTACTGGGTATTTATGTTTTGAAATTTGAGAGAACTGTAAATATCATGGCAACAGACTTCTAATATAAACTCAAAGTATGTCTGTTATTATATCCTTTCATGGACACTGGAAACTTAATTGTTTCTCATTTTGACCTGAAGTAAAGCAGCGCTGTCAAAAGCATGAAATTAACTTGCTGCTGAGAGCTCTGTAGTACAGTAGTACCAGGCAATCTCGAAACTGTCCATCTCAGCACCAACTTCCCTTGTCCATGCTGCATAATTACACTCACTGGAGCTGCATTACCTTACAATGTAACAAATGAAGTCTGTACTGCATCTGTCACCTATCTGAGACGACTTCACTTAGTCACGTCATTTTCCCCTCATCCCTCATAAGCATGGCTAATAAAATGTAAAGATGGGAGATAATACACCGCTGACTGAGTTTTATTAAGAACGTAATGACAATATCATTGTTGTAATGATACTAAGACATCTAAGATGAAGGGCGGACCGGCGTGCGGAAGTGAGCGTGACATCACAGGGAAAAAGTACGTCCTGCTCGCTTTATTTCATTATTGGTTAAGCTTCCTTATTAGGGACAGGGGGCGAAGCAGCGTTGCCTTTGATAAAGCAAGGCAATTTCAGGAGCTGCTACGGTGCCAAATTACAGTTGTACATCATGCAGCTCTCTCTCTCTCTCCCTCTCTCTCTCTCTCTCTTTCTCTACTGCTTCCACAACTTCTTTTCTCTAGCTCTCTCTATCTGGAAGGACTCTGTACATGGTGTTGATCTCAATGTTGCCTGCTCTGTGAAGCAGAGAGACTTGAGAGAAGAGTGAGGGACAACAGCTGAAACAGCAGACAACAGCCCCATCTAGAGATTGTATTCAGTCACTGGATTACTGAGTGGATATTAAATGATTCAGGTGCACTAAAAGTTGATATAGTTCACATTGAGTTAGGATTTCACCAGTCTGTTCAATAAAATGTTGACTCAACTTATACTGGGCATTTTGAATTGCCTAATAATCACTTTAAATTCAGCAAGGGTCGCTGATGTGATTTTATCATGATTATACTATTTGATCCCATAGACACAGCCTTTAAACCAAGATAGCCTTATATTGCTGTTTGACATCACTTCTAACTACACCAAATAGTTTTTAAAAAAGGTCTGTCCAAAGGCATTTATCGGTTTTCTGACACTGAATGTTCCCCAAAACTACTGTATCTCAGAACCCTCACAAATGTGGGCTATTCTATGTGATCTGCTTTTGATAAGTAATGCAATAAGTAATGTAATATTGTTTCACTTCCATTCACTGAGCCTCCCCTGAAACTGTTTGAAGCCCCCCTTGGGAGGCCTGCCTCACACTTATACTGCCATCTGTAATCTTGTGTCATGCATTATGGGACACAGTTTACACACTTTGGTTTTTGCTGCTTCATGTGCAATAACTGCAAACTGGTAACAGTTCAACAACCACCCAGTTTCATTCCCTCAAGTGTAATTTTTGAATTTCACTTTTTATTGCAGCTTCATTGGCTCCTCACTTTATTTGTGACCTTTTTGTCTCAATACACTCACTGGTTACTATTTATGATGGTGTATTTGGTACCTTTTAGTTTTCATGCTTCACTTGTATGTAGTAGATGTTCATAATTTTAAATTTACTCATCTGTGCATCTGTTCTTGTGTGGTGACACTTGAATTTCCCTGTGTGGGATCAATAAAATCTGTCCTTTTCATCAACATTAAAAGGACAATATAGACTACAATAGAAAAGTTTTTGACCTTCAAACCATCATAAACATGACCGCGCCCCTTCTCTGAATATGAAGTGACTTGCAGATCAACAAACCATCAGGCTGACAGGCCTAACCTATCTGCCATTAGGCCGTTGAGATATCACACTTTGCCTTAATTCACCATCTTTCAGTGGTGTCACACTTTATATTCCCTGGCATGGGTAGGCTACATGCGGATGCATAATTTATCTCAAATTAGCGCCTATTTGAGTAAGCATCAAAGCAAGGCGGCTAAGGTTGGAGGAGAGCTTAAGGAACCGCAGGGAAACCATGGCCAGGATTAATGCGGGAGATTTTTATAAGAAATTACTGGCTTAATGAAGTGGATAAAAAAGCTGTCAGTGTTTTATTGCATCTAAATTGTGTGGAAGTGGTGTTTAGCTGTCTCGCCTACTCCCCACATAATGGGTCGTGACAGTAGCTGTGAGGCTTATTTAACTTAACTGGTGAATAACTTGTATGGCGAAGCTATTCAGAGAATTGTTTTTATACTAAACCAGTAAGGGTATTTTTTCCCCCTCTTTCTTCTCACTCATCATAATGCCATATGAACAACAGCCAACTCAAGAAAACTGACAATTGTATCTAGTTCCATATTAGAGAATCACTTAAAAAAATACTATTTTGAGCATTTTAGCAAAGGCTGAAAATGTCATTTTGACTGTTAACATGTAGAAAATACCCAGGCAACATGAACTCGACTACAAATTGGACATGAGCTAAAGCCTATATTCTACATCAGGGCTGAATAATCCAATTTACTTTATTGTCATGCTCATTCTGAAGGCCCAATAACGGAAACAGGGGTTCTCTCTACTACTCACTGTGGTTACAGAAACTGTTGACATTTATAGCCATATTTAAAGGGCTGTATAATTCACCATACAGGATCAGCAAATGATGCACGCTTACTGTAAATTTAACAAGAATGAAAACAGATATTGGGCTTGGAGAAGGGGCAAGAATGAATAATACACTGTGGGGAACATTTGACTAGTCTTATGGCGCCATCTTGCGTTTGCTTGTAGGTTTGCATTAGATTAGATGGTAAGCAAAGGGCCATTTCAGAGCACCAATTCATTCTGCCTCTAACCTTAAAACATTACCTAAGACTGTTTTTCATTAGAGGTTTTACAAATATACCCAGATAAGTATTAAGATGATTTGGTGTCTTTTGATCTGATGTCTTTTAATTAACTTTATGTCGACAATTATGACACTGACAAAAACAAAATGTAAATGCTCATTTATTTCACATGGTATAGCATCACAATACATGAAATCATCATTCATCACAGTTCTGCTGTGCAAGTGCTTATTTTTAGGTGACTGATAACGACTGGTCGACAGGTTGAGAAGGTCTTGGGTCTGTTTCAAGAAGCAAGTTCACAGAGTTACCTGAATAACTTTGCAGAATAAAACCCCAAACACCTTCAAATCTGGAACAAAAACGTTTTACAGGCGTTTTACTCAGCAAAGTTATCAGGATAACATGTTAATCCTACTTTGTGAACCCCACATCTCACCCTTGATATAAACATACAGAAAATGCAACATCTTGTGTCGTAATGGCAAAAGTAATGAATTTTGGTCTTTTTCTCCTCCTTTGTGTTTTATTTTCTGGGTTAGTTTCATTTTCACTTTCTACCTTTGAGTACAATGAGCAGTGTTACAGCAATACAAGTTGTCAACACACCAATGTATGCATGCTTGGAATGGGTACATTTTGTTCTTGTGAATCCCGCTTAACAGAGCCAAACTCAATACAAAATATGGGTTAATAATTTTGGGCACGACTGAAACTGTAGGTGGAAAACATGCTAGTTTCAGCCAGTTCATGTCATCTTCCCATAATGTCATAGAAAGTCTATCTGGGGTGTGAACTCCTCAATCAGTCCTGCACCTCAACCCCACCTAATACATTTCCTTCTTACATGGCTTATTTTCATCATTTTACCGTTTCTGAATCATTTAATCATTTTGGCAGTGCTTTTGCAAAGACCAAACCCAAACTCATTTTTACAACCTATCATAAAGTCAAAGTTGAATTTTCAGTGGTGCACACGCAGAAAAGTTAATTCCACTGATTCAAAAGAGTTTAATTATGCTAAGCTGCTGTTACTGAGAAGAAGGCTCTTTCTGTAAAGGTCCTTCACCAGTACAGAGAAAGGGCCCTGTCTGGGATCTAATCACACCTTTTCACGGACATTGATACACACACACACACACACTCACTCACTCATGCATACACACAAATATATACCTGCATACACACACACACAAAAGACTACGATAGATGGACAGCACAATCCCTTTTCAGTCTACTAACAAACAAAACCTTGTTTTTCCCTTCACAAGTGAAACCAAAAAGCGAGTTCTGGGCAGCATTCAGGTAGGGTGAGGTGAGTGGTAGTGAGAGAAAGCTTGCACTGCAGACAAGCTTTATCTACATAAGGCCATCTCTGAACATGTGTGGGTTACGACTAGCGGTTCACATCCACCATCTTTTCCATCAGCACAGAAGTGGTCGGGGTGGGTTCATCACTAGACAGATTCCTGAAAACTGATATCACAGTTTGTCCATAGCAAGAGGATACAACAAGAGTTTGTTTTTACTCCTCACATTGTTCATTTCAGAGGGACCAGCAGCTAATTATCACAGCCTCTGACTGCTTTAAGAAATCCAAAGAAAGATCTCGAACCTCTTCTTGTCCAGGTGCAGTTTTACTCTCTTGATTTCCTCACAGCTAACACAGTGCCTTGCATTCACCTCAAACGAATGCTTGAATTTCCCTTCCATCTTAGCTTGAGAAGTCTGACCAGTCCAGTGTGCTCCAGTGCTGTCTTACACACTTGTGGCTCAAGCCGTCTCTCAGTACTTTAGGTGCTGGGAGCAAGGCATTGTGATTTGCGCGCAGGTGAGCCCCAGTTGAGTAGTCTTTCCTCTACAGGCTCTCCTGGCCCCTCTCCATCTTTCCTTTCCTCTACCCTCTTTTTAGTTTTTTGTTTTGCATCAGTGTCTAGACAGTGTTCCGCGGCGTGCCATTCAGTGCAACAGCCTTGGTGCAGGGTGAGCCAACCGCCTGCGAGCCCAGTGGACGCTGGGTGGAAACGCCCACCTCGAATACTTCATGGATGGCCTTCCGGAAACAATGGAAGTTGTAGTCTATCAATCCTAAGTAGGCAAGAAATATACAACAGATGGATTAGAGACATGTATGTCTTGCTTTGTAACAATATCTGCACAAAGAAAGTCTGTCAAAAGGCTTAATGTTTCAAACATGCTGCGGGTTGGGGGGTTAATAAACATGAAAACTGAAGGGAAAAAATGCAGTCAGTTGGATCATGTTAGGCTCTTAACTATTGTTTGCAATGCATTGCAAGAAAAGTCTGAGGAAAGGTAGTGATAAAAGAATCTCATAAACTAAGTTGTATAATAATTTTCATTCATCCCACTTCCCCATATATAAGTCCGTGCTTTCATCCCCATAAATAAGGTATTTTGTTAATCCCAAAAGCAACTTCTACATGACAAAGACAGAATAACAATGTAGTCCAATGCAATACCCATTCACAACATTTGTAAAGCTTATAATGTTTTCTCCCTCTGGAAACTGACAGGTGTTGATTTAACTCTATAGTCAAGGTTATCTCAGTTTGAGCTTGTGACTTTATAAAGAAAGCCAGTGTTACAAACTGGGCGAATAGAGGATATGCTTTTGAGTTTCTTTATAAAATGTGTAGGATCCATATTAGTGGCTACAAGTCAGCATATCTCCGCATCTGCTGCATCATCTTTTTAAACCAAAATCTGTGCACTATATTAAAGTGCAATACTAAGTTGTTGGTTCCATTTAATATACTTAAATGAAAAATATTACAATGTATATGTACCTCTGTATACATGTAAATCCAGCCTCGCTGCAGTGCTAGAATAACGTGGAAGAAAATATGAAAGCACTTGACTCAAGGCTGCATCCTCATTAGCCAAATTAAGCCAGATGAGCTCCAGGAGATCTCAGATTTCCCTGACAGTTTACCTTTGCGCTCGAAGCTTTCCTCTCGCAGGATGCAGACAAGGGCCAGGAACTTGGTGACCTCTTTCAGGTACAGCACAGTGGTGTTGTTGAGCTTGATGATGGCCATGGACTCCTTGTCGTAGGCGCTGCCGCTGCCGTCCTCCCTCAGACTGTTGTGGCATAACACAACACATTAATGTTCAGGGGAAAATGTGAAAAAAAAGATTCTAGCATTCGGATTACTTAAGCAAATAAATGCATAATGAAGTTCAATGAAAGCATTATTAGACAACACATGGGTGAACTCTGTATCTTTAAAGCATTAAGAATTTATAGAAAGTTAATTGAAAATCTACCTCCCTTTGGTTTTTAATTCACTTATTATAAAGTTTAAACTTACATAAATCTAAACTGCATCTGAATGACAGGAAGAGCTGAAAACAAAGCCATAACCCAACTCTGACTGCAATTACTACTGTTAAAATAAACAAATAAAAACGCACTCACCCATAGATGCAGGAGACGTCAATGACCACATCAATCATATCACAGCACAGCTCATAGGACTGCATGTCTACAGGAGAGCTGTCTGTGGCAATGTAGATCTTACTGACCACATCAAACAGAAAGGCCTTCTCTATCCCTGAATTCTGGCAGTGACAAATATTAGGCGACGAACAACAGAGAGGGAGAGAGACAAAGGAAAGATATAATAGATATAATAAAATAAAGAAGCAGGGTACTACTATCTGATGAGTTACACTGGACATATGTCCACAGTAAGGGTGGGTGATATGATGACAAATGTGAATGAGATGATACTAATTTAGCAGCTGTCAGACATTTTACTGGGCAATAACTAACTTTTTTGGATCGTTTGGTCTTTAAAATGTCAGACAAAAGTGAAATCACATTTTCCTGAAGCAGAAGTCATACAAGACCAAGAAAACTGGCAAATACTTACATTTGAGAATTTGGACCTGGTGAACTTTCTAATTACTTAAAAAGCTGAATGAATTATGAAAATTGTTGCCAATTAATATATAAATAAATAATACGACAAACGCATAATTGACTAATTATTTCAGCCCTAGATTTTCCATGCAGTTAATACTTTGGAAGTAATATATCTGGGTGTACAGTATTTAGGCCCCGCTCACAAATCAATGAGCAGGACTGCTTTATGGCAATATTTGTAAGGTATTTAATTTGCTCGATTAGGCATAAACAGAGATTCCTGCATATTTTATCCATTAACAAATCCTCAATTGATTTTCCAGAATTTCTCAATACACATAATAAAATGGGCCAAAAGTTGTGACAGCACTCTTATGGAAACCCGGTACTTCATCAGTAATAGTTATGGGGCTCCACTGGAATGCTCACCCATCATCTGGCACATAAAGGTTCATAAAGAAGAATTAAGCTTCACTTTGGTTCAGTTCACTTATCTTCACAAAGCTTCAAAATACAGGGTTTTACTTGCTGTTTTAGATGCAGCTTTAATCATCTGGTCATGACAGCATGTGTGCCAATAAACGACAAAACAGATAATAAGTCAGTGTTTCCCCTATATGCATTCAGGAGCGGCGGAGGCACAGTCTGATGGCACCAAGTTAAAGTTAAATGTTCTTTTAAGTATTTTTCATTACTTAATCATGAAATATAACATTTTACTTTGTGAAATGTTGACTACAGACATAAGTCAAAGACAAAGCTGGAGCATTACCCTCTTCAAGTAAATATTTGTCTGACATTGAAGACTTTTCTTAAACTATGTGAACTCTCTGGATACCGGAATAGTAAGTACATTTTGCAATAAAATGCAAATTTCATGTGAGGCAGGACTGTTTTTTGCACTCAATATCATGTATGCCCAGAGACAAATCTCTCCCAGTGACTGTCATCAACAGCAACATAATCAAAATGTATTATCAAGACTATGTTTGAGGAAGAAATCATATGCAGCATCCACGGCCAGCATTACAATCAAGGCCTTAAATGGCTAAATGGTGTTGGAGGAACTGCTAATCATATGTGCCTTCAGGGCTGGCAGTGACTCACATCACGCAGGCTGTCACACACAAATCACGCTGGTCAATGACAAACTCATTCCGGTTCAATCACACAAGTGTTGGCTGTTCTTTACTTACAGAAATGAAGATGTTCAGGAGGTTCTCCAGAGTGGGAAGCTGAGGGATGAGCTTCTGCACCACTTTGCTGAAGGCCTCAAAGATGGAGTGATCGTAAATACTCGTCAAGTAAAAGCTGAATGAGATAAAAAAACAAAAAAGGAAGTGAATAAACCGTTAGTAGCAGGAAACACTTCTCACTTCCTCAAAACACATATGAAAGCAGGTAAAATTACACATAGTCACGAGATCACATGACAGACACCGAATGCTAGAAAATAGCTGTTAATCAAAGCATTTAAGCCTGATTCAGACATAAAAACACAGCAATAAAAACTAAATGTTAGCAAAAAAAACTGTCTTCACGTGTCTGCGGCAAAACTGGACCCACATGACTAACGGACTTTGGTTACAGAGATATATATAAATAAAAATATCAGACCCCGGAGAAGCCAGTGGCTTGAGCCAAATGGAACAGTCTGCATACACTGCAGACAGCAGAAGCTCAACTTCACAGTGAAGAAAGCACCAGAGAGCCACAAAGAAGAGCAAAAAAAAAAAAAAAAAAAAAGGCTTCTCAGTGCCACCATATATCCAGGACCGACCGCTCTGGCTGTCTAACTGAAATAAACAACAATCTCACCCCACATAAAACACAGTGCAGCATGTGCCAACACAGCCAAACATCAACAGTAAAGCTGCTGCAGAGCTGACCAGGTTCAGCCAGGACAGCCTGTTTAATGTTGTACAAAACACATTTACAGTTTCTACTCATATTTTTTGATTAGGGCTGCAAAAAAAACATTATTTTAATTATCACGTAATCTATTGATTAATTTTTAAAATCATTTAGTCATAAAACTGTAAAACAAAAAAAGTTTGCCCAAATAAACATGGTATTGTTGGTTTTGTCTGATCAATAATTAAAAACCCCAAAATATATTATTTACAATGATAAATCAGAAAATAATACAGCTTCTCAAATGTGAGAAGTGTAACCAATAAATTTTTGGCATTTTGAGTAGATAAAAAAAAAAAAAAAAAAAAACTTGAGTGATTATATCAAATATCAAAATTGTTCCCAACCAACTGTCTTTCCATAAATTAATCGGTTATTCTTTCACATTATGGATTAATTTGTTGATGACTCAATTAGTAATCAGACATCTCCTGAGCCAAAACGTATTATTTTGACTGAGCATCAGACAATGGTGTGAACTACTGCACAGTAAGGACTTCAGCCTTCTCTCTACATCATACAAGTACGTCAGACCTTTGGAGAGCTCTGGTATGTGAAGCATAGGTCATGGTTTCTTCATTTAGGAGGTCAAAGCGGAATCTCACAGTAACACCAAAGGTATGCAGGGCACAGGCTGTTGTACATCAACACTTCCACTGTTAAACTAAGCCTTCCCTAATCCCATAATTCAAATTACTGTTGCTGTGCCAACCTGAGAGAGCTCAGTCATATCTAAGCTGCGACTGCGTTTTTGATCAATTTTGAACAACATTCTTACTGTAAGTTTTGTAACCATACAATGTGGGCTGTGGTTAAAACTCCTCCTGTCCAGCAACAGAGACATTCTCTGGATGGCCGATACTGAGTGTTGCAAAGGGTTTTTGGATCGGTCAAACGGTGAGTCTACAGTGATATTCAGTATCTTGCCATAACTTGTACAGTATGCACAACAGTTTTTTTTTGGCTCAGTTTTGGATCACACACCCAAAACCGGCAAAATGATGTGTGATTTTTGTCAGAATTTTCTCACCAACATCTTGACAGTTGTAAGCTTTTTAAGTTTAAAGTGACAAAACTATCCAGGTCTGGCACATGTGACATCACTAACTCAACTTGTGAGAAGGTGTGTGGTAACACCCTCTCACCAGTAGCTCAGTCAGTTAGGAACCTACTCTGGTTCAAATCCCCAGCTGACTGAGTCTGACTTGTTGACAATTGGGGTTTTCAGATGAGAGTGAGTTTAAGTTCTCTATTTTATTTGGACCACATGACACTTTCTTCCAATTTTTCTCTGCTAAAAAGTGTTTGTGCAGCTTAAACTTTAAAACTCCTAAACACAGCCTGTTGCAGGTGGGTTGAACAATTCACCCAGTAGTCTGGGTACATATAATGACACTCTGATCTCAAGGTGATGCTGTAAAAATCAAGTTTGCGTTTCCCCAATTATCTCAAAGTTCATCTCTTTAATCTCTTAAGTCATCTGCGTCTTTTCTTCTCTTCTGAAAAATGTCAAATGTTGCGTTTTTCGCGACTTGCTTGTATCCCGATCATTGCTGCTCGCAGCTATATTTTTATCTAGGGGTTGTACCAGAACAGGTTTACATGGTTTCAATTTCAAAAAACACCATATTTTTGTCATACATTGCTGCAGCACCTCTTTTCATCCCTGTGTTGAACTCTCCGTTTTAGCTACCGAGTGAAGCATCTCACTTCTATAAGATCTTTGTTGGGAGTTGCACATGTGCAGTACCTAGGTAAGGACTACTAGCCAATCAGAAGCAGAGTAGGGCTGGTCCTGACAAGCAAGGCAGTGTGATCCAAAACAAAGCAGGTCAGTCAAACATGATCCCGAAACACAGGAAGAACAACCATAACCAGTTTTGCAACCTAGACTGGAGCAAGATGTTTCAGAGGGGTAAGGGCATGTGCGTGTTTTAATGCAGTATTCTAAAATGAGTAGTAACATAGGACCCCCTGATGTCAAATGTGCCAATTTGATTTTCACATTGACTTAAGCCATTATTTATAACAGGTGTTCCATGTTTACTACCCAAGAATACCTAGATTTTGCATGTCTCATCTTACCCAGTCATGTAGACATATGTTTTCCACTTTTATAATGTCATAATATGTTACTAGGAAAAAGAGAAAGGCCCATTTGCATGACTTTTGTAGACTGCACACATATGGATAACAGGTGTGAGTCAACGTACTTGCATGAGACACCATGAATTTAAATTACTCTCTGTATCAACATCCTCTGTGATTGCATGGGTAGCAGGGGAAAAATAATTTCTTCTTCAGCCTTCTAGAGATATAGAAGTAAAATAATAAAGTGTTAATAAAGTGTACCTGAGATGCAGCTTTTCTAAGCTAGCGTCTGCCAGATCGTCATTGGCTCTCTGATGGATGTCTCGCTGGGTCTCGATCTTGTGATCGTCTGAGAGGCCGTCCACTTTATGGATAAACACCTCGAAGTTGATCTCTGGATTGACTCGGTAGGCCCGCGACACGGTGAGGTGAAGCCTGCCCAGGGCCTCCACATAATCATCCTGAGGTAGAAAGTAACATAGAAATACACATATGCAATACATCTTTATAAAAAAGCGAGACATAAAACTGGCCACAAACGCATTACAAAAATTTAAACTTCAAGTAGCCTATAGTCCTTACATTAGATCACAATTATCTTCTGCATTCATGCATACAAATGCTAAATAATTCATCACTTTTATATTTGTTATGCTGTCACTTTAAAACTATTGAGAACAAAACAAATAAGCTTCATTAAACATTTATACACCTCAAAAGTGCATATGACCATCTTCTGCTAGGATGAACCCTGAAAACACCCATTTTAAATATTTCAGTTCAGTTTAAGATTATACTTAAAAGATAAATTGCAATTACAAAAACTATGCGACAGCTAATCAGTAAAATCAACTGGAAAAACAAGACATGGCCTATTAAAAAAAGTGTTACAGGGATAACAGGTATGAGGAAATGTACTGCTGCTTTGTCTTCTGAAACAGCAAGACAAAAACAAGTCTCCCCAGATATCACTGTGTGACCAACTGCTGCAACAAATTGAATCTGATGCACCTCCTTGAGTACAAATAAGTGCTGCAATCAGATCAGCAGTGGCTAACATCGTCGCTGAGATTACTTCTTTAAAGCGCTTCATGTCATGGGGATAGCACTGGCATAAAAGCCGTGGCATGTAATTGACTTTTATCCTGGCTGCTCCGGCTGTTTATCACGGAGTTCATTCTCAAAGGGCTTCTACTGTAACTTACATCAACAGCGAGTACTAAAAAAAAAGTTTGTTTTCTTTATATGTGCAGTTTCACCAAGTAGCAAATATGTGAATGTCAGACAGTCTTTTATCAGATTTTGTGTTTGTAATATAAAATGTACAGCCAGTACCCAGAATTTAAATTCAATATATTTGAAACATGACACGGTTTTGTTTTATGTTCACAGCATGTAAAACAACACCAAAAGTGTTGACTTCACTTCCTGTGTTCATGACCATGTCAAATTAACCACTGTTTTACAGCTCTTTACCTGAGCATCAATGACAAATATCAAAGCCCCGGTTCCTCTGAAGATCATTTCATAGTCGAAGGTGGGGTCGAAGAAGTCAACCTGACCTGGGAAGTCCCAAATCTGGAAGTTGACAAAGGAGCTGCTCGAGATGTCGTCCTTGTAGATCTTGTTGGTACTCTCCAGGAACAAAGTCTCATTTGGAGACATTTTGTGGAACACCACCTGAAATCATAATTGAATACATATTTAAGTAGAATAAATGCAGACAGATTGTTTTTTTTTAAAGTCCTGAAATCACACCAAGTCCTGAAGGCTAGTATGATATCACACCAACATAATACTCAGAAAACCTTTTCATCTGACTACAGCCATACTACAACCTCTGGTGCTTGGGTCGATGACAGCCAAGAGACTAATTTAATGGATTGAAAATCCTCCTCACTACCATGTTTTCTGGTGCACATGGCTGTATTATTATTCATACAAATAAAAAAAATGATTTCATGAGATTTAATTCCTTTAAAATATCTCAAGCATTTGGGGTGCTTCGTTTGCCTACCTAGACAAACCTCCATTTGTCTTTTTGTACACATACCGCACAGCAGAGTGTATACTCTCTTTTCAACTTTTGCTTTGCTTTAATGTTCATTAAACAACTGTTTAACATTTTTATTAAATGTCTGACTTAAATATTTGCTACATATTCTTTAATCTCATTTGCCTACCAATCATAAGCATTTAACAATACAGCAAATAAATATAGGAATACATATAACGTGACTACAACTTTTTCAATAAGAGTTTTAGGGTTTTCTTCACTAGTTACACAGATAGTGATGTATTGTAAATGAAATAGCCTTACAATATGTTGCAAAATTACCTGCATCAGAATATAAATGTTTTCACTGGAGAGATTATCCCAACAGCACTGTATTCTGGTTTATGCTATGATTTAAGCATAAAGTCATAATTCGGATATCACACGCAGAGCACAATGGATAAAGACAAAACATTGCACACTCACTCTGACGCAACACACGTCACTCTATATTCAGCACTTTTCAGGTGCATGCTTTCAAACAGCAGACACTAAGACTGCAGCTGTAAGTGAAGTATGGGTTGATCAGGGTCTTGGTCTACTGAAAGCAGTAGCAGGTAGAAAATAAATTGCAGTGGGTTATGATGGAGGAACTGGAATGTTCTCTCCACAGCTGCCATTTTGAATCAGTGTGTGAGCCACTGAGGACATAGGCCAATGAACCAGCAAAAAGCCAAATCACATGTTTTCAGCCCATACTGGAGGCTTACAGGAGACTATTAATCTGAGACTTGACGGTGTGGGGATTATAGTAGAACAGTACAAGTGTGCATGTGCACTTCAGTACAGACAACTGCAATTGTTTACTTTTATGTCTTCAGGCATTGTCTGTAGGATATTCTTCTGGCTAGTCATGCTATATCCAGAATGATTCTACTTCCCCATTGAATGTTAACATAAATAATAAAATATCATAGAAGGCACAACTGCATCTCATCTATTATTCAACCACAGTGCCAGTCTGAAAGTGGTAGACTTGAGGAATATAATCAAGGCAGCTAACCTTGCTGTAGGAGTTAGCTGGATCATGCAAAAGCAAAGGCAATCAAATCAAGGATGGATTACCAAGAGGGAAAAATGGGCAACAACTCCAAGAGGCCCTAAAAAGCCCCAAGTTCACTGCATTTTAAGTGGTTTTGGTTTGGCTAATTGGAAATTTGTTAGGCTATGCCTTGTAATGGGACCATGTGTCTGGTCTAGATCAAATGAAATGTGTCAATATTAGATTTCGACAAACAAACAAAAACGTAATAAATATTTTAGTTCCTGCAGTTTTGTTTTACCTAAAAGAAAAAGACCACCAATATCATAAAGATGATTTAAGAAATACATAATGAAGGCATCTAAAACCGAGGTGCTTGTATGAATTTCTTTGGGCCTTCACCTACTAAGTATGTTGATCACAAGACAAGCTGCGTCAGGATCTTGGTGGTTTACCACGTCGGCTAAAAAACGTTACTGGGGGAAACCCTGGGAGTATTGGCTGCTCCCCCCCCCAAACTTGTTAATCCAGCCATGAATTAAATGCATAGGGGAAGATGCTGGCCAGACTGCAGGTGCTGTTCCTGCCTGGTGCACAGATTTAAAAGGAAAGTGTTACGGAAGGTGTGGTCGGTTTGCTGTCATGTGAGAGCTGCACATCAGACCTGCCCTATGCCTCACAACTGGGTGGGACTTAGTTATAATTGGCATGTTGGACAAGTTGTTAACCAAATAGTCACATGCTTTGTGTCCACATATCAGTAAAGATGCACCTAGCGTCTCTGTACACCTGGTTAATAATTCACAGCTACACTTACGTTAGCTAACACTTAAGGGTTACTAGTCATTAGCTGCGGTAGGTATTTTTATTTCAGTTTTTCCACTCTCATGTAGCTTGACATGTTACGTGCTGACAGATAGCTACAGTCCCTTGCGACATGCTAAACTAAGTCGTTAGCTATTTTGGCTAACGTCCCATTTACTTGCGTGAAGCTAGGGAAGGCGCCGCTCACCTCGAAAGGCTAACAGTTTCACATCTCTTCCTACCTTCTGTATGGATGATTTGCCGCTTCTTCTCAAACCCATAAGCAGGATTCTCGGTTTGCTGTCGGACGGCGCCGGGCTGTCCTCGATGTCGGCCTCCTCTTCACCATAACCGAAATCTTTGGGGAACGAGTCTGCAACCCCGTAGCTGTCAGCCAGCTGTTCCACCTCGTACTGAATCGACATTTTGACCTAACGACTGTCGCTTCCCCTCTTCCCCCCCTTACTTGTCGGTCTCCACACCCGTGTTTGTATCTGAAAATCGGTATGCAACACAAACTACCGTCACAGAATGAAAATAGTTTGTCAATAATGCCAGGGCTACTTGGAAACACGGAGCGTGATCCCACACATTTCCTAAGGATTTCCTCTCCCTTGAAAAAAAAACTCGCCCATTGGGTCCACCTCTTAATTCTGATTTGCTGTCTGGATTGAAATGCGATAAATGATTGGTCGACCTGCCTGTCACTCTACTGAGGTTTGTCGCTGTCACCTGACTAGTACTCAGACTTGTTTTGAGACCTATCACCCGAATAAAAAGCAAATACACGCTATGGACACAGCCGTTTAGAGCCGTTTGTGTTTTAATGTATCAATAATACATAATTCATACATTATTATTTGGTGTAAAAAAAGTGAACATTGGTGAAGGCTGTTAAAACGAACTAAAACAAAGTGGACAGCTGTGGTGTTCTGCAGTATTACCAGCAGATGGCGGCAGAAATCCACTACAGTAAAAATAAGGCTTTCAAGGTCTTTCTAAAATGTCGGAAATGATCGTTAAAACTCTAGAAAGACCCCTTAAAATGTATTTTTACGAAATACGGTTCACCCTTTGCTCAGCGGTGTGTGCTGAGAGGAAAAATACACAGACAGAAGAGGGACATGTAAGACCTTTGCACAGAGTTTCATAATGTGCAAGTTTTCATTTCAATTAAAGAAAATAACCTGTCAATTGTTAAAAGACCAATTTTATGTTGCCCTGTTGACTGTTATTATTTTATTTGTTTTTATTTAATCTCAGTACCCATTCCCTACAAGAGGCCTTTATCTCCTGCCAAGCCGTTATGGTAAACAAGAAACATAATTAGCCTGGTAAAATAAAGATATAATAATAATAAAATAAAAATTAATTAAAGCTTTGGGTCTATCAAGACCCAAAGAGTCGTAGCCATGGCATTACGATTTTTATAAATACTTAGGCCATGAGTCAAACGCTCTCAGCAAATAAAACCAACAGCCAATGTACTAAAAAAAAGACTGTCCCGGTCAACGCTTGGGGGAAGATATGTTGTTTTTTTTCAAGGAACACCTGAAAGCAGCATCCAGCCCAGCAGAGCCGCGTTGCTTGAAGGAAGGTGACAAACGAAAGTTAACTTCTCCGACCGGCCGCCAGAGATTAGCTGGGTGTACCTGGCTTTCAATATCAGGCAGGACACAAAACATTGTGTCTGTAAGAACAACAACATCATCTTTGTAGCCTACATCACTATGGCACATTATAGAGTAAGTGTGTTTGCTGTCGCTTTACTGTTAACGAATGCTCTGTACAAACTGTTCCTTGTCTAGTAACCGTAAGCTAGCTAAGCTAATATTAGCACGCTGGGAGGTCACAAGGTGTTCATCAGTGAGGAGGCTGACCACCTGTGACATCTCATGTTTTGGAATGGAGGTTGTAAATATTTGTGGATACACCTAACAGGGAACCGAAAAGATAATAAGGCAACAAACCAACTGCAAACTGATTTTTGAACGAGTGATTTTTGTTTGTCTATTTTTTGCTTCAGGTCATCATTTGATAATTTTATGTCTAAAATTAACTTACCTTAACTGTTAACTTAGAGGACTAACAAGCAGGGCACTTAGGCAACGAGTGAGTGGAAATTATACCATGATATTTGACTTCTAACGTCTCACTTCTAGTTAATGAACTAGATCTGACAGTTGATAGTTTTGTAATCAGTTGTTGCCTGACTTTTCCTCCTGCAGGCTCCAGACCCCAAAAGGGAACAGTTTCGGAGATACTTGGAGAAAGCCGGTGTAGTTGACAGTCTCACCAGTGGTATGGCACATTTATTAACATATTGAAGCACTGCTTTGTTGGTAATAGGAAAATGTTTAAAAGATGCCAACACAAGAGCGTAAATCCAGAACTGAACATCTGAAAATGTTGTTCCACAAAACTTTTTTTTTTCTTTTAACAAAGCAAAGAACAAATTATGCCAAACTTCTCAAATGCATTTTAATGGTGTCTTTAGTAGTAGCACAATAACTTTGCCTGAATAAATACAGTCTAAAGTTAGCAAAATTATTACTTGACTCGGGAAATATCCATTCAAATACAATGTCAAGAATCTACAAAACCATTTTCTGTCAACAGTAAAGTTTTGGTATCCAAAAAGTACTGAAGTTGATACCTGTTGCCTGAACTGTTTTTCACTCCTGGATTTCAGTTCTAGTGGCTTTGTATGAACAACCAGAAAAGCCCAACAATGCTCTGGAGTATCCTTTTAGACACACAAACAGACTCTACTGAACCCGTGAGTGGTTGTAGAAATTGTCTCCTGGTTTAGTTGGTAGTGAGTTGATCCCCACCTGTCACTCATACACAAATAATACTCATAATAATAAAGATAAATGTTAAGAATTCACTTAATAAAGGAGGCAACTGCTTCCTGTAGATTCTTTAACCAACTCCTTCCAGATTTGTCAAGGAGCACCTCGGTGCTGGTGGCTTGACTTCCGCAGACACAGAGGCTCTGCAGCAGGAGGTGATTGACTTGAGACAGAGGTGTGCATGTCTGGCCGAGGAAAACAAAGACCTCAAAACACGGGTAAGCTTATCGTAAAAGTTATGCGTGTCATTTACCGGTTAAAGCACCTAACTAATGGAAAGGCTGCCCTACAAGGTAGCTATGGTAAATGATCTATGCTTGTATAATACAAGGTTGTTTATTTATCATTATACAGCACAAGGCTGCAAAACAACATTTGTAGTTCCTGCTACACATTCAACATATAATTTAAGTGTAGGCTATATTAAAATACAGTAATGTTTAAAATAAAATTAAACAATACAGTTTATATATATATATATATATATATACACCCCGAATATTCCACGGCGCATTTTTTGAATTTGCATGGGGTGAATGTAAACAGCAGCAACCAGATGATAGAATGAAAGTTTCTTTTTCACAATAAACAGTCATTTGGGAAACAGAGTCCATCTTGACTGCATTTGTGCACCAAGCATCATCAATGTAAAACACAGAGTCCATTTCCTCTCATCTTGCCTGGGTCTTGCACTGAAGTCATAAACACCGTTGTCATTTACAAGAGAGTGTACTTTATGCATAAACTTAAACACTTTGGAGTGGACTTAACAGATACTGGTACTTTTCTATCATTAATTTGTGGAGAGCATTCTCACTTTTGGTCTTATTACTTGATACTTCTCGCTGTATGTAGTAAACATGACAAACTAAGTTTATTTTGTCTAGTAAGATTTGGGGTCAACAACAACACAGTATGACACTGCTCATTGAGTGTGCGTATCACATCCTCTATGGCGAATATGACATTTTGCTACCAGGACAAGGATATAGGGTACTGCCGTTGTGGACTACCAGTGCTCAAAGATCAATCATACCTTCCAATATAGCTCTGTTTAAACAAATCCTTGATGGCATGAGAGTCGTGCCACTGGCATTTTGTTGTACTTGATGTTTGATCGTTGGTAAGGTTGTGGGGCAGTCTGCTAATTAATGTCTGACTTGTACTGTAATGTCCTTTGTTGTATTTGTCCGACAGTTGCCTCAGACAAAAGGAATCTCCAAAAGGATAATAAACTAAACTAACATGGGTGTACTTTCTTCTCCATTTCTGTAGCTGCAGCGTTATGAACCTGTATCAGAGGATGGGACCACAGCTGACTAGACTCAGCAAAGCTTTGGTTTGAGGAATGTATTTTTTGTTTAAATTGTCACTTTTGAATTAAAAGACAAGACGACACTTTAAAAGTGAAAGCCAAGAATTGTTATGTAGCTGTGCTGTTTTTTTTATTTTAGTTTCTAATTTGTTTCTTAGAATCTAACTTATTCTGTACATGTATGTATGTATATATATATATATAAGTTGTTATTTCAGTCTTAAGTATAGCTTTACAATAGAACATACCCTCCTATGTGACTAGACATGCCAGTTCTTAAGACGTGGGACTTTTCTTGAGGGGTCTATGTTAGAATATAACACATCTCTGATTATTGTATTTTTCTGGCATTGTTATAAACAGTGCATGACAGCACTTAATCCTTTATTTCCAAAGGTCTGGTGTAAGTGAACAATTTTCAGTAAAAAGCTTTAAAATGTAAGTGGCTGGTAAAATAAAGCACAGTCTTGTAATTAAGTTATTGTTGAACTAATTTCTAATCTGTATCAATCAGGCTTTTGTTGGAATATAAATTTTGTTAATGTCTACATCAATATTGCATAAGTCAGTATTCTACATGTGCAATGATGACATATTAACAAAATCCCCATAAGACACAAACCAGGTACAACACTAATGCAGAGTGAAATGCAGACCTTAGGGACCAGGATTTAATAATAATTTGCAGCTGTTCCTTCAGGGACAAACAGAAACTATCAAGCAGGAACGTAATCCAACAGTACTGTTGTTGGTGAGGATAGCGGAGGGTTGTTGGCATCTTATTGATATGCACAGGAAACTGACATGAGACATAACAGATTTTTATCATTGTGGATTAAAACGCAACCAATGGTAGCACATTTTCCTAAATCTGTACAGGTCAACTCATTATCTCTTCTCCATTTTAGACGTGACTAACTGAAAAACAGCACTTGTTACAGCTCATCTATATTTGGCTCAGTGGGGGCCTGTCTAATCTTGGACTAGACCATCAAGATGTATGATGCAGCTGTTTGCCCACATGTTAACTAATTTTGTTGTAATCCATACAGTTTGACACAATAGAAAACACGCTTTATTCCAAAAGCAAACACAAAAATATATAAAGATACAGTACACAGTTCTGTTGTTTCATATTTTATTATGTCACCCAAAGGAAATTATAAATGTCAATTGCATTGGTTGAAATGCATTTAAAATAAAAGCACAGATTAAACAAAATATTAGCAAACGCTCACCAGTTTGAAGGCAGATTAGAGGACTGTTAAATCCAAATGGTGAATATACCAGGAACATGGATTGGCGATAATGCAAATAAGGCCCAGTTTGTTTTGAAGTTTAGATTTGCAGGTCTGACGCTCGTCTGCTGCTTGTATTGCTTGCCATCGATGTTTTGCAGTTGGAAGAAGGTGGTCTGGAATTGTACATGGATCCTGAGCTGGAGTCCTCCAGTGACTCAGGGGTGGAGGGCCGGCTTTGATGGCTGGTGTCTAATTTTGACTGTGTTGGAGAGGGAGGTCCACTACTGGCTTTTGCAGCCCCATATGAATCTGTGTCAGAGCTTTTACCCTCTAACACGGTGGAGCAAATGAAAGAGCTATGAGCCTTCCATGGCCTCTTCGATGCACTGACTGGCAGCGTGGGGAAGGAGGAAGTGTGAGCTGCCCTATGTTGGCATTTTGGAGAGTCTAGGCTATCTCTTCTACTGCTGTTCTCCTCCTTACTGTGTGAGGGGAAATGCAAAAAGTCCTCAGCCTCCTGCGTTGGATTAATCGGGGAGTCACAGCACGGAGAGCAGGGCTCCTTGGTAGTCAAGGTGTAGTTATAATCTGGGGGTCTTTGAGCTGCACATCTGGAATCCTCCAAATCCTGCTGATTGGCCAGCTCACCCTGGGGTTGAAAAGTTGAAGATTTGATAAGGCTTGGGTAAATGCCCTGCGCCTTCTCCGTCAAGAGGTTGTAGTCACCAGGTGCAGAGGCAATTGTTACCCTTCGGGCAGCACATATTTGCACAACAGATTCTTTTTTACACTTCACAGAGTAGTCATCAAGTTCATCTCTCTCGTCTCTCAAGTGAGGGTACAAGTCCAGGATGCCCTCTTTGATCTTCTTGTAACTAAGATGCATGATCTCCAAGATGTTTAGGAAGAGGGAAATTCCAGCAATGCATTGCATGAACACCATGAAGACACTTTTCTCTGTTGGTCTGGAAACATAACAATCTACAGAATTGGGACAAGGATCCCGTTCACACTTGAAGAGTGGGTAGAGGTGAAAGCCATAAAGGAGGTACTGGCCTGTCATGAAGGCCACTTCAACGACAGAGCGGGTGACAATGTGAGCCACGTAGGTACGCAGCAGGGAACCCCTCAGAGGAGCTTTATTAAGCTTCCCCTGATCAAGCTGTTTCATTTCCCGCTCGATCCTCTTCCTGGCTTCTGCCAACTCCACATCCACCAACTCCAGCTCCCTCCGCAGCAGTACCTTCTTCTTCTGCCGCTCCTTCTCCAGGGCCCGCAGCCTGTAGAGAGCGTGGCCCATGTAAACCAGTGAGGGAGAAGACACAAAAATGACCTGCAGCACCCAGTAGCGGATGAGGGAGATGGGGAAAGCCAGATCGTAGCACACGTTCCTGCATCCAGGCTGCTCAGTGTTGCATATGAAGTCAGCCTGCTCATCGTTCCATACGTCCTCAGCTGCCACCCCGAGGACCAGCATACGGAAGATGAACAGGATGGTGAGCCAGATCTTGCCTACCATAGTGGAATGGATATGAACCTCCTCCAAAATCCCCCCAAGGAAGTTCCAGTCCCCCATCTTCACTCTGCCATTGTGACTTACAGAAAGTCAGTGACAGAGAGAGATGAAATAATTAGGGAAGAAAATCTTCTGAAACTGTTAAAAATTAGTATCTATAAAGGTAGTATAATGAACATATAGGAACAAGAGATACAGTACAACCTTCAGGAAATAAGATTTTAAGACAGACAGGAAAGGCATATTGAAAATGTAAAGAGCTTTTCAGGTTAAAATGAACAAAGTATACAAGAGCAAAATTAGCTGTAAACCACCAAAAACCCCAGACAGAGTTGTTTGTGAAAATAATCATTTAAATTTTCCAGTAACAATGGAAGAATTAAAAATTTGCAGTACCTCTGAAGAAGAAAAATGAAACATTAACTAGTAGCAAAAAGTGAAGTAAAAATGAACAGCGTCACATATTTGCAAAAAGATCAAAAATTCAAAAGATCAAAATTCTCCAAAAAGGACTTGTATATCAAGTAAAACATTCCCTTGGCATGTCAGCTATCCAGTTTTGTTTTACTAAAACCATTCCTCTCAGCAGTGTCATTATATAAACTCAGAGCAGAGCTCTGTGCACTCGCCGTTTCCATTTACCTTGCAGTAGCATGGACAGACTGCTGGTGTTGACTTAAATCTCCTCGGGTCATGCAGCCAAATCACCAAAAAGATTTAAAAAATCGTTAGTGCCCTCCACATGAGTTCCTGCGCATCACCCAAATTTCAGTGACCCGCCTATGCCCCAGTGTTGCCAAAAACAAAGTGGGAACAACCGAGCTGCTCAGGGACGGTTGCCAACACTACTTTGGCCAGAAATAGTCAATACCAACAGCTTCACTGATGTATTTAGATCATGGCCCCACAGTGATGGGGTTGTAACCAGTTGTAACACAGATAATGACCTTTTTTTGTATTTTTTTACCTTTCCAAACAGAAATGCTGCATGCGTTCAACAGCAGAGATGGTACCTCACTGACCACATTTTTGTGATTTATTTGGGTGTGCACATTTGGTGTGGGTGTAAATAACCAAGCAGTTTCTAAATAGGTGCTTTGCAAGTCCATACTACATGCTTAGGATTTATTAGCACTCAATTGTTCAAGTCTGTTTGCTCCGTATATACAAACAACACAGAGAATCAACACCGTGGCTGGAATCCCCACATTATCAATAGCAGTCAGTTATCCACACAGGCTTTGTACAATCAATAGTTTGCTACTATAGTGAAATAATCAATGAGTCATCATGTCCGATTTCATACTCTGCTGCTCCTGTCTGGATGTTAAGTTCTCATGTACTTGAAATATTATTTTATCACATTTACAAGAAATCTATCACAATCATTTAATGTGCTTGGCTTCTGCTGTTCGCTAGATTCACACCGTCCAATTCTAAATACTTTTAAATGTCTTTGTGTGATAAATATGCTTGTTATCTGACTGAGGTCAGTCATGATGTTACAGCTTCACACCCACAATGTGAAATGTTTATTAATTCTCAAATTGTTATTTGGCTTTACAGAGCAAGACAGACTATCTAGTGTGTGTGAGTTGGGATATTTGTTATCAATAGGAAAAAGCAAACCATACCCCTGAACTGGCCTAATGTGTGTGTTGACAAGACTCAACCCACCAGCTTAGTGTTCTCGTCTGTGAGTACGAAGTTATCATAAACTGAACTTACCCCTCTGACCTCGAATCTCTCATTACCAAACCAGCAGAGCAGGATTGATTCAGACCAGTCTGGTACAAACACATTAGGGGTACAGTGGGTCACACTGGGGTAACATATTGGGAAACTCTCAGTGCTATTTCCCCTTGTTTTTCTTCCAATCACAGTAATCAATTTTGACTTGTACTTGTACAGTTCAGTGCATTGTCCGGCTTACTATCAACACAAATCGTTGTTTTAAACTGAAAGTGTTCATGTTCATTTGTCTTATAACATCACTGGAGAGGATCTCTACAATTCACTTCAGTTCTAACTTCCATGTTGGTAAAAGCAAAAGTCCAGTATTTAGGTCTAAAATAATTAATTAAGGTATTTTATAAGATCATCACTTTAATTTGAATAAACTGCAACTTTTTCTGAATTGTAAGATGTTCACCAGTTGAAGCTAATGTATCTGTTGTCTTTAGGACCTTTGGGCCAAACCAAACCAAATTCAGAGAAACCACAGTATTATTTTCAGTATTTCAAAGTAAGATCCTCATTAACTCTTTAATAGGAAATAACACATATCCGATTTCCGACTGCTGTTCTACATAAGGCAACATCCCATTTCCCACTGTTTGAGAGTTGAAGAAAAGTTCATCATAATTGAATACTGATGCCCTAAGTTATATTGATCTATATTGATCTCTCTTGAGCTCAGTTTGGAAACTATGGGATTTTCCACATACTGTAAAAGAGCAAAAGCAGTCTCTGCAGCATCAAACAGCAGACTGCTATATACAAACAATGAAACATTAAAAAAACATCAAAGTTTATTAAAAATACATTAAATATTGAGCTGTGGAAATACGAAACCAAGTGTAGGAGGTCTTTGGTCATAGTTTTCCTGTAATCTTAGATAAATTAAGTTCTCTTTCAAAAATAAGACCTATTTGTGAATTACCTTCTGACACCAGGTGTAAAACAATGGTGTTTCCAAAAGCTGGATGTTCACCAGAGCCAAAGTTATGTGTTTACAAGGTTAAAACACAATAAGTATGAAAGAAAAATGCATCAACAGTTTTGCAACTCAAAATGTAATAAGCAATGTCCTGTCAACAGAATGTGACTTAGGCCAAGGCATGATGATAAACTCTTCCGCTTACAAAAGGAAGGGGCAACTTATTCTTGTTAGTGCTGTCACACAGTCAATCAACATGTCTTCATCAAATTTGTGTTTGCTGCAGTGAGGGAATTCCCCACGTTTAAGGCACATTTTATGAATACTGAAAGTCCATGATGATTCAACAGAATATTTGTGACAGCATAGAGGAGCATAAAATGATTAAATTAAATTCCTAAGAAGAAATGACAAAGAAAAAATTACATGAATCAGGACCAGTATGTTCATTTTCTGATTATCAATACAAAATAGAAAATACAAAAACATATAAAAACTAACAAAATACTCACAGCAAAGATCATATCTAGAATAAGAAAAATATTGACAGTACATTAGGGGTTCAGAGAATATTTAATTCTTAATTATTTGTATTTTAAAAAGCATTTCCTCAACAAAAGATGTAAAATGTAAAATATGCCTTCTGCAATGCTACACATAAACAGCAGGAGGCACCATTCCATTTGAACGCACAAATTCAGCTCTAAAAATTTTTGTTTTTTAAAATCCTTAATTAATAATTAACAAAGTTCCTGAAAAGCAGCTTTGCTGTGAAACACATAAGTCAAAAAACTGTTTCCTGAGTGTGACATTAAGGCTTTTAGTGTTAACTTTTTTAAAAGGTTGGTGAGTGCAGCTTTATCGTCCTATGGTGCTGGGGACAGGAAGATGTTGAAGAGTGCGGCAAAGATCACAAAGGCTATATAGCCCACTATACACAGCCAGAAACGTGGGTCGTGGAGTAGCTTGCTGTTGTAAGCGCTGAAGAAGACGTAGCCGACGGTCATTCCGGCCACAATCCCACCAAAATGAGCCACAAAGGACACCTAGGAGGACAGAAGGTGATGTCAGGTTTCAGAATTAGGCCTAATTAACCAAGATAAACTGAACACAGACCTCAACTACTGTCATCCAACATCACTGAAATGTAGCAAACACCCCAAAAACTTGCAGGACCAGTTTAAAAGCCAAAGGAAACTAAGAGGAAGCAAAAAAGAAGGGAGATAGCAAAGTGGGGGAGGGACTAAGGAACCTGTATTCTAGTGATCAGTTGGAAAGAAACAAGCTTTGTCAAACAGGAGGAAGATAATGTATACTTTCAGCTGTTTTGTCCCTCAAAATGGAAACTTTGGAGTCAAAGGGCAATAGTCACCATTTCTCAATGTTGATTAGTGATTAAAAAAGGATCTGGTTTGTGTGGAAAGCCAGTTTACAGTTTTTGTCCATTTATACATGCCCATACAGAGAGGTAGCTATTTGCATGAATAATCCCGTCAAGTCCCAACAAGACCTGCTGATCCTGTCTGTAGCCACAAGCAAATTACAACCATCACTAAACACCGTTGGCTTGGGGGAGGTTAGCTAGATTAGGTGGATCCCTTTTGAGGTTCTTTCTTTATCAGAAAAGGTTTAGCAAGACCCTTTGTTTGTTTTTCTAATAAAGTCCTCTGCTGTACAGCAGAAGGAAAATCATACCTTCAAACCAGCCTCATCACTGACAAATCTTCTGTAGAAGGCAAATCCAAAATCTGTGCCAACTGTAGAAAGAAAACAGTATCAAATTTAAAAAAAAATTAGGTATGATCACAGCAGTTAGAAAAAAAGCAAAATAGGTTGAAAACACACAGGAGAACATACCAATCAACACTATGGCAAGGATACGAAACACTCCCAGAAGAGGAAGCATCTCTCGGAAATTCTGTGAATTGAAATAAGGGTCAACAGCTTTAAAGAATGATGTTAATTTTAAATTTACGAGTGCGTAAGACAATAATAAGTCTGAAAACTTAGCAAAGACCTGCTTCACAAAGCAGAAATAGCACAATTTATATACTTGAATATAAAAATACTAAGGGGTGTGCTCAGTAGTTCAGTAACATAAATGTTCCCTTAAAATTATATTCCAAACCATTAATAGAACGTTTATTGAGAAAATGTGAGTAAACTGGTATTGTACACACACTATGCTATCTGCTAACCTTAGACATGTTGACAATGTCAAAGTAACATAGTCATAGTTGTAGTACGTAAAATAAGATAAGTTAAACTCTTTAGACTGAAACACAACATCAGCTGCTGTTCACAACTTTCTCTTAAACTCTATGTAAACTTACCACCACTGCGTTCATAAAATAGCCACCCATTAGAGCATAAACACCCCCGGATGCTCCCACCAAAGCACTGAGAGGATCAAATATGGAGCTGGCCAAAGAGCCTGAGGGAAACAGAAATTATCAGTTCTACAATCAGCGGCATTTCTTACAGCCAGGACTCACTTGAACACAAACAGGGAAAACCAACTTCAAGAATAGTTAATGATAGATATCTGGGTGCATATAGTATTCACAAACAGTGACTGAGTCCAGCTAGCTTAGGAGTTTGAAAGCTGCTCTTGTAACAATACAGCTAGCTGTGCTACACGTATCTTGTGGGTGGAGTGGGAGTGGGGTGTGCTCACCTGCCAGGACGCCCGAGAGGTAAACCATTCCCACTTCAAATCCTTTATGGACCAGTTCCAGTGGGATGCCCAGCAGTAGCTGCATCACCAGGTTGCCCAAGATGTGCTGCACACTGATGAGAACAGAGGAATAAGCAGAATATACTTGAGCATGTTGAGCTAGCATACAAATACACAGCGGATGGACAAAATAACACACCTGTAGCCCTGCAGTAAAGATCAGGTGGTGATTCATTTTGATGCATCATTTAAAAAACAATGTAGGTGTTAAAAAGGTAAGACTGGTGTTTTTCTAGTTTTGTTATTGTAAACGCAATCACCAATGCATCAACACTTCCCTACTCTTTCTGTGGCACTTACTCCAAATCCCTCTCATCTTTAATATATAATCCCATCCCAACTTTTAAAAACAGCTCAGTAATGTTCTAAAACAACTGGGTGCTGCAGAGTTTAATAAATGTTTTTTTAAACAGTGTTTTGGTTGGAGACCATTTCAGCTGCAGATTAAATGACATTTGGTGCACTAATAAGTACTTCTCGTCTAAAACACAACAATAGACAAACACTGTTAGCTTAAACTAATACCACACAAACAATTATAGGTTTTTATGTTTTTTATTGAACACCCCGTGTAAACATTCACAGCGCAGGGTGGAAAAAGTATGTGAACCCTTTGGAATTACCTGGATTTCTGCATAAATTGGTCATAAAATGTGACCTGATCTTCATCTAAGTCACAACAATAGTCAAACACAGTCTGCTTAAACTAATACCACACAAACAATTATAGGTTTTTATGTTTTTTAGTGAACACACCGTGTAAACATTCACAGTGTAAGATGGAAATAGTATGTGAACCCCTAAGATAATGACTGCTCCATAAGCTAATTGGAGTCAGCCAACCTTGAGTCCAATCAATGAGACGAGATTGAGTGGTTGGTCAAAGCAGCCCTGCCCTTTAAAAACCACACACCAATTTTACTTGTGCAATTCTCATGAAGCATTGCCTGATGTGAACAAAGCCTCAAACAAAAGAGCTCTCAGAAGACATAAGATTAAGCATTGTTTCTTGAGTGAAGCTAGAAAGGAGATTTTATATTTTTATATATGATTAATGAGATATCTGACTATACAGGACAATTGCTGGTTTAGGTCTATAACAAAAATATAAAATATCACCAGTCTTATCCTTTAAGCACATATCCTGTTAGGTGTCTTTCAGGTAGTGCTGGTGAGTGACTGACCACTTTTCCTCTTGGTTAATCTAGTTTTCCTATAGGATGTTCTGTGCAGTCATAAGATAACAAACTAAATTGATCCCACACCAGAGAAATTCACTTGTCACAGCAGCAGAGTGACAGATAGAAATACACATACAATAAAAAAAGTAAAATAGAATTATTCTTGGTTTTCCTGTAGCTCATGACTTTTGAGACTGTTTGCTTGCCACCACATGACGTTGCAATGTTTTGGTTTTGACAGATGTATCAGCAATTCAGGCAATGAATATCTAGGCCTTCATGTACCTTTAAAACAAACAAACAAACAAACGCAATGGCGGCAGGTTTATGTTAAATCTAATAGTACTCCTCTTCGTATGACTCACCCTTGTAACTTTGGTGCATCAGTTAAAAACCACTAATGTGTAATGCAGGAAGTGTCAAAATAATGCTGACATCCACCAAACACAGGAACTCTGTAAAGTAAAGAGGTGCCGTGCTCACAACCTACAGTTTCAGAAGTGACTACAGAATTGAATCAAAACCACTCACAGAATTAGAAAGCCCACAAAGATTATGAGATTCACCAAACTGATGTTTACTGCAGGGCCGTGTCTGTGGGAATTTGTCCACTCTCGACAATGACTCATGTAATTAACATCTAAAAGCTCTGCCAATGCTTACCCGGCGTGGACAAACATGTAAGAGAAAAAGCGCCATGCTTCCTGCCTGTGCTCGGGCTTGTACGAAAGGGGGCTGTTCCAGATGCCTTCGTCCAGGGTCACCCACTGCTTCTGAGGCTTCCACACAGCGTAGTAGATAAACACTGCCAACTGATAAAGAACAGAAAATGTCCACAAACGTGAGTCTTCAAGTAGGAGATTGTCAAATCCAAGTCTCTTTCCTCCGCAAAACACTGTAAAAACTGCCTTCAGGTTAGTAGCAGCAGAAGCTCGATCGCAAACAGCTGAGAAAATAAAGATAAGAAAAATAATCAGAAATACAACTAAAGTATGTTTAACCAACCTCAGGAAATCCCCCAGGGGGATTGTACTCAGCAGCTCAGTTGATCTTGTCTGGGTAAATAAAGTGCCTCCTCACCCAAATAAAAAGGCTATTCAGACAGTCAAATGCAGTGACATTGGACATCTGTGAGTTACAAAGAGTGAGCTGTGTGAATAGGCAGTGTGCAAAACACTCAGTGATAAGAAAAAGAGTAAAGCGACAGCCTTCCACCGATTGTGACAGCAACATGGTGCCAACTGGCAAACTGACATTTTAACAGCAGTTTTGTACAGATCTCAAAAGTGTATTGACTCACTATGGACAATGTAAAGAAAATGTCAAAACAAGCAGGTTTACAAACATAAAAAATGCACTAACAATTCAATTGTGCACAAAACAATCTGACAATACAAAATATTTTTATTTAACATTTATAATGGACTATACAAACATTGAATATGGTTTGTAGGGTTTATAACAGTATAATGTAGTTGTAAGCAGCTATAAGGACATCTGTACATGCTTAATAATGTACATTATTTCCCAACAATATTTTATATTATTACAACTGTATACTATATTGTCATTCACTCCACCACTGGGTGCCCACAGAAGGAGTTATTGTTATTGACAAAGGCACTGATAAACACCACTATCTTACAACTACTATACTTACAACAACATTATAATGCATTTTATTTACTGCCTATAAATGCTAAATAGGGAGACACAAAGTATATTATGATAATGTAAAGACAAATGTTTAAATAGCAGTGGTCAACACAAAGAAGGCACTAAATGCAAGTGCATGCTGCAACTGCTCACAAGTGTCATGTCTTCTGGAGTAAACTACTTCCTACTGTTTGTTTTACAAACAGGCAATCTCAAATGCATTCCTGGTGGCATTAGCTTAACTTAATATAGGACATAATAAAGAACTCAGTATATCTCCCTTTAAAACCATAAGGTTTTTTTTGTTTTGTTTTTTAAATAGACCAAACCCCACCTCACCCCCTCCCTTACTATTTCAACAAATCACCCACCGATCCTCCACATTCCACAAGATGTGTTTATTTACCTAAACCTAAGTCCAAGGACACGCAGGCTTTCTGTTTACACATTCAGGAAAAGCATCTCTGAATCCCACCAGTAAGGATCAACTGTACCAGGGCTAGCCTAAGGCTATAGTTCTACTCATGAAAACTGCTGTTTTCATTGACACCATGCCTACTGCCTGCTAGCGAGGACTGCACTCGATGAATCAGGACATTCAGAGGAGGTGGTGCAGATGCCAAAAGAGACAGAAAGAAAGAAACTGACTCTCACAAAACCTTCACAGTTTAGAGCTTGGTCATTGTGAGAACTACACATTTTCAAACACGGTAGCTATAAACAAAGATATCCTTCACCTCAATATCTGCTCTATAATTACAGCAAATCTTTACACCATGGCAGCATAATAAATGTAAGAATAATTACATCACAGAATCCATAATGATCACCCCAGTGCTCATGTATTGAATATGTATGTCAAGCTACCTCTCCAAGACTGATTAAGATGATGAAGATGGGAGGCGGGAAGCAGTTGGCCCGTTCCAGGTACTTGTCGCGGGCGTGTTCTGGGAGCATAAATCTGGAGACAGAATGCTGGAACCTCTCACAGCATCCCATCTCACTGTCATCATCAGGTTGGTCTTCTTCACTCCCGAGCTGTCTCCCATCCCGGTCCACGGGTAACGGCTCCTGCTGCTCGGGGTCGATGTCCTCCATCAATACTCCTGCCCTATGTAGCAGATTGCATATTTTGACTTAAGGGTGTTTGTATCTACAGTACCTTGAGCTGACTTGAATTGGTATCAGAGCAGAGGTGTTTTTTTTGAATACCATGGTAGTAATCACTTTAATATCTCTGGGTATATTTGGTCATTTGGGGCAATTTTGCATGTTATGGTAATATTGGATTTGTTTTTGTGGTTTTTGCATCAATGTGATGAAGTACTTAGATTTTCAGGTATTTTATTTGCTGGACTAGCAAAAAACATACATTCCTATTGGTTACTTCATCCATTAATATTGACTGATTGATTTTTATTTTTATTGTGCCATGCCTAAATAATATGCCCAGCCCAAACAGGCTTACAACACCACCATTATTTAGACTCTTAGACCAGAAACCAGAGTAGCAACATAAATATAAATAGTAACATCATATTATACATAATATGAAAAAAAATAATCTTATAAGCATTAAAATGAAACAACTATGCCTTCCTATCATAGGCTGTGCACCAAAACATTCCTGGATATTGAACTGAAGATATTCTAACTCGTAATAAGGACAATACAGAAGAAAAAGCGATTAATTCTTCAACATCATTCAACTTCTCCTAATTCTCGCAATTCCCACAAACCTGTTTTTAAATCTGCCAACTTCAAGGGCCAGAGGAAGAATTCCTGATCTCAGCTGTGCAACTAAAGACTTTTGACTCCAACATTATAACTTTCATGAACATTGGATGCATTACCGGGCTGGTGTATTAGAGACTACATTTATTTTATCTACATGTAGCTAATAAATTGGCAAGTAATATCATCATATGATATAAAATGACATATCCATAAATCTATATTGCCCACCAATTGGGCCTACTTCTGTGATGTTTAACAGCATCTAAAGTGCAATAGAAGTAAATCACCAGCTGTCACGGGCTAAATGTTAGTGATGCATCGATCCGATTCTGATATTAGTCCAATACTCACTCAAATAGCTGCATCGGGTATCATGAAAAAGGGGGGGGTCGATCTATTAAAATGAATTACGCGGGTACTACGCAATGCATCAGCAGTTTTGCTAGGAGAGCGAACAGCATTTTGTTTTACAAAGTTAGGAAGCAATGCTTAAGTCAAGCCTGATGTTGACGTACACATAAACAAATTATTCCAAGTCTCTTTCTCACAGTAAGGAATACAGCTTAATAATATTACACTGGTAGAAACAAATGACATATGGGACTGCAACTAACAATAATTTTCATTATCGATGAAACCACCAATCATTTCTCCATCCATTGTTCTGTCTATAAAATATCAGGAACTAGTGAAAAATACCAGTTGTAATTCTCGCTTTAAATGTCTTGTTTTGTCCAACTAACAGTCCAAACCCCAAAGATATTCAGTTTACTATCACATATGACAAAGAAAAGCATCAAATTCTCATATTTGAGAAGCTGGAAACAGCAAATGTTTACATTATTAAAATTTACTTTAATGCAATTATGAAAGTAGTTGCAGATTTAATTTTCTGTTGATTTACTTATTGTTGCAGCTCAGCATGACAACAAAGTGAAATAAAACTATACATCTGTACCTTTAACATGCATAATTGTCAAGAGCTGTCAGACCCTACAATGTTTAATGACTAAAATGTTCTTTTTGAATGGAAGAGATTTTAACTAGGCAACTTTTCTCTTGGAAAGAAGAACACTGTCCTGAATATCATCTATATCAAGAGTTTTCAATGTCTGAGACAGTGGGCCTCCCTTTAGACATGAGCTTGGAAAAAGGCGCCCCCTCACCACACCCTAGTTTACTTGTTTAGTTTCACTCAATTCCTGGATTCCTATGGGATCATGATTATGTTATATGACTACACAGACACTCAACTGAGCCGAAATAGCCTAATATTACTGTTTGACATAACTTCAGACTACACCAAATACATAAAAGGTCGTCTCAAGGCATTTATTAGTTTCTGACTCTGGAAAAGTGGGTAAAAATTTTATCATACACATTTAGGCTATTCTATTAGATCTCCTTTTGATAACTAATAATAATGTGATGACTAAGATTTTCCCCCTTCCACTCACCAAGCCTCCCCTGAAACTGTTTGGGCTGTTTAAAATATAGGAAAAAGGAAATTTGCAATTACTCTCCTCCTTTTGCTGGGTGAACATCCACTAGATACAAATGAATCCTAAATTGTCCAGTTTATGCTGCTTGCATGCCCAGCAACATTTGCACTCTGAAACCGATGTATTTCAAGTGTAATACTTTATCTTTAGTAAGACCTTGCTCAATTAGCCAACAACTGACAGTAAAAGAAATTAGGCTACAAAAAGCACGAGTTTTATACAAAAAACTACAATAAATAGAAAATAGCATTAGGCTACTTTGTTTTAATGCTGAGATGTTACCAATTTTAATAATATTTCCCAAAATGGACAAACTCTGACGGAGAACACAATTACAGTTGGCTACTGTATAGTAGCCTTTTAAAGCAAGTTACAAAAGGTTTGACACTAAACTACACAGTAGCCTACATTTTCGCCTGTTGATTAGCGTTTCCTGTTTACTGGGCGTTGCTGATGACAATACCTACTGATTTTGATCACAGACTTTTCCAGCCAACTTCAAATAAACTCCAGTTAAGGCTCCACGCCATTGTAAAGTATTAAGTTTTTAAAAAAAAAAAATCAACTTTACGTTGACCTACTCACCTAAATCTTTAACAGGTAGACAGCTCCGAGCGGCCCAAAACGCACAATTATTGATTCGACTTAACTAATTCAAACAGTTCAATGTGGGAGCTGAAGAGTGCACAAGTCCATCCGCTGTAGAGTTAAAAACACCATACAAAAACGCTTTCAGCACCATTCCTCCATGTTTTCAGACAACCCGCGGAATCCCTTCTTCTTCAGCCGTCCCCGTGAGATCGGAAGCTCTTGGAGATAATTATAGCCCTTGCAGTGCTTTTTCCTGCAAAAAACTTAACTTCCTTCCCGGTCCAAACAAACCACTGATGTTCCCCTCTTCCACCCAACTACAGCAGAGTTTTACAAAACCACGGAGAATATAGGTCCTGCAAACCTCGCACAACGTCCTAACTTAGGCTACCTGTTTCACCGTGCCACACCTGGGATCAGTGACGTCACTGACGAGTAGCTCCTCGTTATCCAACTTTTTACACTCACACGATCAGAAATGGTTACCCCCCCCACCCCCCCCCGACCATTTCTGATCATCTACGGTGCCATATATTCGAATAGATACAGAGTCTAATTCACGAAAGTAAACTCAAACTAAAGTCCCAATTTCATATAAATGTTGCACTACTGTGCATGTGCCACAAGGGGGACCTGGAGTCCACAATTACGAACAATGGGGATGGCGATGTTTCCATTGCAGGTTGCTAGCAAAGAGAATACTAAGACGTTTATATGCAATCTTCACATTACTCATGAACACGTCCCCCCCCCCCCCACACACACACACTATCAATAGAAGCTCCTAATCATCCTGATATTGCTTGTCACTCATTTATTAAAATCAGTCACAAAATGTTATCACAATTATAATGGAAATTCATAGATCAGATGACAATGAACCTTAACAGATAACCCTATAATAATACCCATCCAGAATAGCTACACTGTACCTCCTGGTGAGATTAGGGCTGCAGCTAAGGTTTGGCATTTTTGCTTGAAAAATGACTCAATAGATCAAAACAGTAAGTTACTTTTAGTAGCCTGCTTCAGCTCTGGGTATCTTTTCAATTAGGTTTTGAATGGTCAATCTAAAATATTTAGCCAACAAACATGCTTGTCTTTTAGGTGCCTAGGGGAATGGAAATTTAAACACCATTCCATGACAACTTCGCAAACTTCACCTATTGATGGATCGTGTGATGGCTCCAGTACTGCTACTCCATTGATCATGTGGTGAGACTACTCATTGATAAAAAAAACACATGCCAAACAACAGATTTTAATCACAGAACTTTTATTTTCTTCAAAAGGGAGAAAATCCACATTCTCAGGTAAAGAGTTGTGAGGAGGGATGTGGGGGGGGGGGGGGGGGGGGAGATGTGAGAAGCAGGAGCCATTAAATACAGCTGCTACAAGGTTATACAGATGATCACATGAGCCAATAAGCTTTTTCTACAGCGCCAGCAAGAGATTTGACACAGATCTGCTTTAGTCAGGATTTTCAGAGAGTATATCAACAATAAAAGGGGCTGAAAAAATAAAAAGTTGGCTTCATACATAGTTTCTCTTTCAGATTCTTCTAACTTTTTGCCAGCAGCAACAGTTTTAAAGTAAGAAATCAACTTTTGGATTAAAAAGGAGGATACACCATGGCACCCAAACAGGTTGAGATGGAGGGGACAAAAATGGTAAATAAAATGAAAAATCAAGTGGAAGGAGGCCGTAGAAGAGCAGCCATCTTGTGAGTGGAAGCTGGGATCTCATCAATGTGAGTTCAGGACACATCTGAAACATAAATTGATTGATAGTGTGGATTAGTGCTGCGGTAAAACACAGTAACCATCAGATCATCCTTTTATTAAATCAGAACCCTGATTAAATAAGAAATGTATACGAGGTTTAAAATACTTACAACTTGCAGGCCGGGCTCCGTATCTTCGCATGATCTGGTCTTGTGTGAACTTCACAAAAGATTCATATTGTTCTGGAAAGAGATGAGAAAAAAAAAAAAAAAAAAAAACACAAGATGGCGGTGAGGATATGTGCTGTAGATTTAAACACCTGATTGGGCAGAGGACCGAGATTCCATCCACAATATGATGCCTAAATTGTCATGTAACAACGATGTGCATTCACATTAGCCTTTCCAGGACTTTTAGTAAATGTCTGCCCACACTAAACAGGAAAACTGCTAAAATCTGTCATCTTCTGTTCAGTCTCTTCCTGCTCTCTGTGATCACCTGGATCGGTTTCTGTTGTCAGAAAACACAATGCTCTTGGCTAATAAATATCACCTGTTAACCAGCAGCCATTGCTAAGACAAACTGGCATTTTACAATTTATACTCTGCAAAACCTGTTTTTGGGTATGAAAATGCCAGATCAGTGCTGGTGAACTTTTTTTTTTTTTATTAAACAAGCTTCATGTGGACGTACTCTGAGTGAATACAGTTTGCTTCTGCTGCATTATTGCATTATTGCGCCTGTTCCCTGCCCATTAACAGTCTTGGCATCTAGAAGCATATATAATGTTTGAGGGAACCAGACTCCAATGCAGACGTCATTAGTTATGATATGAAAAGATACTCATAAAATAAAAAGGGAGGGGTGAGGGTGTTTCTCATTGCAGTTACACTTTCATTGTTCTTCATTGCCAGATTGGAAAGAAGTGCTGTCCAGAGGAATTGTGAATGCTGATACTGAAGTCCTGTGGTTTCACAGTTTTCATTAATATTCAAAGAGGAACGCTTATTACCTGCGAGTTTTGTGTTAAGGATCTGTTCGTACTCCTCCCGGATCTTCTCCTCATGGTCTTTAAGCAGCCGCTCACACAGGTAGCTCACCTGCTTCAGTGTAAACGAGGGCTGGTCCTTCCTTGAGGCACCTGGGAAACACAAAATCAGATCAGCTATGAAAAGGCTGAATCACTAACATATGCGGTGCAGCAAGTCAGAGACAGAAATAGGTGCTTGGCCAGGTGTAAATTTACAGCTCTGCTTGCTGTCATCCCTCACCTCTACCAGCCAAAATGGAGCATGCAGCACTAATGTGAGCCCTTTGTCTGAGTCACCACTATGTCTCTGTCGCAACTGGAGCCAGTATTAGCAAGGTGATTCTTTACCCAGTGGTCTTTGAGGTCTGCATTGGAGCCCTTTAGACTAAAATGTTTGTAAATCACAGACAAGTACGGCAGAGCGAGGATGAAGGTTTAATGGCAGTCTCAGTGACAGAAAGAGGCCGGGACAGTAACGGTGCAGTCAGTGTGATCTATGAGACTATTCTGTAGAGTGGGAAGGAAAAACACGGGAGGCCGAAGTCCTGGGGTTGGGGTCTTGGATTGCATCTCTCAACGTAACTGCCAAATTGTGCATAACACATCGAAATGCACAGTTACTGCTGCAGCACAAACGTATTTCCAAAGAGGCAAAAAGCAAATGTTACAAGTTTGTCATGATCTACGATTGTGTACTTTTCCTATGACGGGCACACATGTAAACAAAAGATGGGCTAAAACAAAGTATACCCACAATCTACAACCATTTCAGGTGTCAGTATAGAGAGAGAAATTGATTGAACTTTGTATGTTTTCTCTTTGGATGAATCTGTCAGTTTATCTTCTGTGATTTAGACTTTCACCTATAACATTTGTATTTCTTAACTTGTTTGCAAAGAAAACAGTATACTGTCTCTTTTGATCTTTTCACATATCACAGTAAACATGAATCATTTCATGACACTTTTTGTTATCCTTTTAGATACAATGAAGCATGAAAGTGCTGCTTATTTCAAGTTCCATCTGAAACACATCCATTACATGTAAAAGTGTTCTGAGAAAATGATAATAAAAGCACTCTTTTCAGGGATTTCAAAAGGGTTAAGACTGAGAGACATCTCCATTTCAGAAGTGGGTTGGATTTGGCACAAACAACTACACATCTTTCACAAACTCACATCTGGAATCACAATCCCTCTGAGCTTGCCTCTTGAGACTTGAGTTGGTCATGCAGGTCCAGCCAAGGGTCTTTTGGCAGGCCTTGCAGAATGAATGAGCTTATCATTCATAATTGTTGTTCAGCAAATGCACACACTTAACTTACAAAAGATGTGATTCTGTTTGTTTTATGATGGTTTTGATGTCTGAGTTGGCTGTCACTTCAATGTTGTAGGACTTGCTAACCAGAACAAAACAAAGCAGACATGTTATTTGATCACCCATTTAGAAAAAGCTCTTACCCGCAGAAGTACAATACCTTCGTTCTAAAATACCCAGCTACAAATATTAGGGCACTCTGCACTTAAAAAAAACACCTTACACCTTCTGGTTGACTGGTTGGTTGATATGCAGATATACGTAGATCGGATGTATTTTATTTGTGATTGATAGGCTATGTTGTATTATAAATAACACTGCTTATGAATGAAAACAGTTTATTTTACCAAACAGAACACATACATATCATGTGGTTCTAAAGTGGGAAAAACATCCATTACTTGACACCAAAAGTGCCATGCTGTACCCATTACAGCTGAGCATGACCAGAAGACATGGCCTTTGGAGTAAAATCCATAAATAGTGTGTGCATGGTGTTTGTCTGACAAACAGTAAATTTTCCTACCTGGTGGGGAGCTGGGAGCGTTGAGGGAGGAACTGGGGCTGGGGGCATCACTGGAGCTACAGGCCTCAGTCTGGTTGAAGGCCCCTTCCAGCTGCCGCCGCCTCTGGATCCGGCTGTACTCCTGACGGAGGTTCTGGAAGATCTGCTCTGTAGGGAGGAAACAGAAACGAGGACAAAACTTTTAAAACCAGGACAGAGACCACCCCCCCCAAAAAAAGGTGATTCTATTTGTCACACATAGGGCCCTGACCTGAAGATGTAACTTTGACCTTGGTTGCTTTCTACTCCACACATTTTTTTTTTTTTTAAATAAATTCGCCAGTTATGAATGGGCTGCCAAAGCAAATTCATTACTGACTTTCTCACTTAGTTTTAATGTGCCTTGTAATGATATCAAGCAACAGTGTCCTAAACCTTTCCTTACTGTAATGAAACCCTCAAACTGCTAAATTACAAGTTTTCAAAAGTATGATGGGTTCTGTTTGATCTTCATTCTGATCAAAAGGCATTATGAATCCATTGTCCCAGAATACTGCTTCATATTGAATGAACTGAACAGTCATTACAGGAATGAAATGGCCAGTATTTTGTTTTATTAGCTTAGTATGTTTACTGTGTGTTCTTTCAATACTACATACACAACACATTCACATAAAATTGAATGTGTTCCAGCATGAACAGGAACTATTACAGGAAGGCATAACGCTCCACCATGTTCTTAAGAAACTAAAAAAAATAAAACATTCATTCCACAGGAAGTAAAGGTGTGAAAGACTGATTAGTATCTATTACAGCTGTGACAAACACAAACACAGCTGACCTGAGACACTTTCAGATCCAGTGACTGAATCACTTGCACTTCTCTTCCAAAGTTTTTCATGACATCACCATCATGCCAAACTACAGCTGGAGAAAAGGTTATGTGAAGGCTGCAACATAAATCAGTGCTGGTTACTAGGCTGTAACAAAGGAAAAGCTTGTTCAAATATAAGCATGGCTGTTGTAGCCCTACAATTTTTAAATACATTAAAATCACATATTCTTAAATAAAAAAATCGGAAACTTTATGTACACATGCATACAGCTACAACTGGTCAAGAAAATGGGGTTGCTACACAGTGGCTAGTCCCTTATCGTCTCAGATGTTTCCGCCTAAAGATTAACCCTACACCTCAGTGGTGTCCAGTGTCAAAACAGCTTAAACATGGTTCACAGCCAGCACACACATATCTAATTATAAGGCTAAAGTTCAAAAATGTCCTGGGAAAAGCAAGAGAAAACAACCATGGCTAGAGCTGATAGCCATATGTAGGAGAGGGACTTTATCTTACTCTATTCATACAGGGGGTGAAGTCTCTACACATGTTGCACCTCTATCTGGGGAACGGTGCCTCATTTATCTTGGGTGGAGAGGGAGATAGAAACCATGTTGCCACTTCAGCCTGCTCATCAGTAAGCTTGTCTGGATGGTGAGGAAAGCAGGACCTTCTCTATAGAGCCATTTTAAGAACACCATGTTATACTGTATGTGGTCATGCAATTTTGAACAGGTGCCTTCACAGAGACCCCTCTGCTTGCTGTATGTGGCTTCTAAACCTCCAGCATTAATAATGCAGGACCCCAATCTGACAGGCTCTGTTTGCTTAGCTACCACTTTGCTTTTCACACTTAATAAAGCCATATCAATGCCGCAAGAATGTCACTCCCAACCTGCAACTAGGAAACAATTAAATTGACAGAAAACACCTTTGATAATCAATTATTTCTCACTTTCAATGGTTGCTCAAGTCTGAGGATTTGCTGATTCATTGTATACATTAATTTTTTGGGGGGTGGATTAAAATTCACCATGTAAGCAGAAAAATCAAATCTAATTAAAACTCTGAGGTTGATTTGAAGTTTGATATTCAATCTCAAGCTGAAATTGCAAGTTACTTTTAAGTTTAATGTTGACCAGCAGGATATTTTAATGCCACTAGGCCCTTGTCAACTGCATGAATAACTCTTAAAGACTTATTATAAAAAGACATGCACAGCGCTGGAGCCCTGTCTCCCTCTCAGCTCCTCCAAAAACATCCTTTGGATAAAAATCCAAGATATAAAGGCTGATCGAGCACATCTAACCACACCAGCTGAAACACATTTTTCAATATAAAATACTATAATACTGTAATCTTTGAAGTTGTCAGTTTTCTCTCACTGATTAAGCCAAATCACAGACTTTCAAATAGTAGATGTAATTTTGAGTGTATAAGAGACACAGGCAGTCTTCACTTTCATTTTGTGCCTCTTGTTTTGTTATTTTTTGAACAGTGGGGGCGTGGTTGCACATCTTGCCACCTCTGCTTACCAATTTCCTGGGGGAAACCCTGTATTTGCAATGATTGTTGTTTAAACAAAGACTGTATGAGCAAGAGAGAGCAAGATCCTGGTTACAGACAGATCTAAAACATAAACCTAGCTGTATCTGGTACTGCTACTACTGTGTAATCCTATAATTTAGTATTTATCTGGACCTACAGTTGCAGGCTTGAGGTTACATCCAACATTTTCATTTTAAAAAGCAGACCTATTGCTACGTCTGCCCGTCCAGACTAAAACGACAAATCCAGGGAGGGAGAGAGAGGGAGGGGGAGGGGAAAAATGAAGGACTTTGAATACAATGACGCAGACACTCACGTTTGGTTTCCTGATTGGGTCTTATCAGTCATACAGAGCAAAAACACAAAGCTGCTGACAGCATTTTTGTTTTGGTATTGTTATTATATACTTACACACTTGTACTGTGGATGTCACCTTGTTTATTTTGCGACAACTGCAAGTCTGTTTTCTGCCACCACAGTCAACTTGTACTCCCGTGTTACTTTCAGTAACAGTTCCACCTCATTGTTGGCCCCAAAAAATCTCTGGTGTGCTCCTCCATCCATAGAACTACTTTCTTCTTTCGCCAAATCTTCTGCAACTGCAGTAGACAATCTGCTTCCTGTTTACACCAGCAAGCACATGCCCAGTGTACGTGAATGGCCACTTCATCTAGGCTTTTTAGTTGTTTTAATGTAGACTGAGATCAACTTTGAAACGCAGCTAAAGCCTACACACTACACGATTTTTATGAGAGCAGGCAGCTACTTTTTCACGGAGAAACACTTTCTACTGACCTCCAGCTCTCTCTGTAGCTCAAATGATCCCTGCTACCAGCGTGTGCTAATCCATTCTTTCACTCATTATTCGTCTTCACAATTGTGATCTTTATAATAAAGATACAACAGCTGTTGTCTGTAGGTTCGTTTCATTTCCCATTTCACGAGTGTTTTCTTAACAAAACATGATTTGGAGACCAGCGTCAGGCGACGCAGTTGCTGTCAGCTCATGTAGTGTGTGACCCCCTGTCACCAATCAGTGGCGCAGTGGGTTTTTAAACAAAAATGTAGTAGTGTGGAAGTAGCCGGAGTCTCTAAATGCCAACAATAAGGGATTAACCTGTGACAGCTGTCTTATGTGAACGGGTCTAATTGGTTGAATGTGCATCTCCTAAATGAAGGTGGTGTGACTGTTGGTAGACGTGTCACTACTCCTGGGTACATCTGACTGAAGTGAAAAACCTCTCCTGCTGCCGGTCACTTTCAGCTCTGCCAACTTCTAGTAGCTCAACTGTGGGCGTTGCTTGACAACAATGACCCTCGTCACAACCAGGTCAAGCAATCAATCAGTGACTTCCGGGAGCCAGGGGAACACAGTGGAGAAAGCCTCGGCTAAAAGGCTTAGGTACAGGCCAAATAGTGAATACGAAAGGCAGATCGGGTGGATAGATTGGACATGGTGGTGGAGAGAAAACAAAGCTGACTCATTTCATTTTAACCTCTACCACTAAAGGACTTTGGGGGGGGGGTTTCGAATGCCCCAACTGCCAGGAAGTAGTGTGATGTATTATGGGTCAGTTCATGTTACTCTTATGCAGCACAGAATTTAAGAGTGACCACTATTAGTTTGAAAAATGGGAAATGGCAACCTAACAAATGATTATTAAGAAGCTCACCACTGAACAATACCCTATCTGGAAACAATTATTTCCAGATAGGGTTTGGCAATACAAATGAGATGATAGAAACTAGTCAACCAGTAGAGATTCCTATAGTAGGTAACTATCCCTGTACTATATTTTTGCATAAATGTGATGAACTGGTCTGGTATTTAACTTCCTGGATAAGCAAAATAACAGACATTACCATTGGATTATTTTACTGATAAACAGATTCTTCAACTTCCAGAAACTAGTGCACTAATTTCATTATTGTTTAGGCTTTTTAAAAATGTTTTATATTTGAAGAAATAAATAAATAGGATCACTGTTTTGTATTGTGAGAGAAAGTTGGCTCGGTGCATCCCTAGCTATTGCAAAATGAAATTACCTACACAATACATTCTGTATTGTTCACTTCTAATTAGGGCTGTGGCTAATGATGATTTTAGTACTTTAATCTTCTACTGATTATTTCATCGATTCATCTAATCCATTGTATAATAAGTACTTTTACTTGGCGGCGGCCCGGTAACAGGATCAGCTGTGTAACTTAACGACGTTACAACACAAACTCGTGGCCCAACCAGGCGGAGAAAAAACACGCACGTTCAAGATTTTCCTGACCAGATGACAGCAGAAGCCCAGGATACCTGACAGTCTTGAAGCCTGACACAGGTTTTGGACCTGAACTATGACATGCACACTTTTCTCCCCAAGCTGTAAACCTGACAAAAGGTCAGCCAGTCCTGCCTTTCGATAACATGTCCCAGGAAAACACCAGCCTCATCTGTCAATTGGGGGAATTATACCAAAGCACAAGCCCAGACTGGCAGGACAAGACTGAGGCAGAAGAGAATGCAGTGGATGATCCCATCTACATTAATATGAAATAATTACCCAAAGATACCTCGGCAGTGTCAGATACCTGTGCCACGCCTGCACGCATACCGCTCTGCTCACCACAAGCGAGCCTGACAAGCTTGAAAGCATGTGTAGGTAGACGCGGGTGGGAGAGAAGACAGCTGACCTTTTGCTAAATACAAAAACTGCTTTCACTTGGCATACCACAGCAGAAAAGCAGGCTTGCAGCACCAGGCCCACGAGGGGCCTCTTTCTGGGTGAAGGTGAGTATAATACCTAGTATCTGGACCTCATGTCTGCAGCAGACAAATCTATATGACTTCACTCTTGCAGCTGCTGGGCTGTAATTCAGCTAGGCAGACAGACTGAAGAAAATGGAGCTCACAAGAGGCCCGTTTGATTCTTAACAAAGTTCAGGCCGGATAAGCAATGTCAGTACAGACAACCTTGAAAACAGGGATCCTAATGTTTCATTTTGCATACCAACATAAACATAGATGCACTATGAAACATAAGCAAGTCAGATTGCATATATGGTGTGAGTAATAACAGGGGCAGAAAATGTGTCTTCACCTCCAGGCATCTGCAAACATCTGCCCTGTACATTCTCATAAAACCAAGAAACTTCACAATAGTAAATTACAATAAATCTCTGGTTTAAGAGGATATGTTCCACAGTTCACCACAAGCCAAAATAAATACATTTCACAGGAAGCCAGCTGTGACGACGTTTCCATTAACATCCACATATGTGTATGAATGCTCTCAACAAACCTTCCCCGGCGCTCTGTGAGCGATGTGCAAGAAGCACGTATTTTTCTTAGAATTAAACAGGAACAAGAGACCACAAGCTGCCCTTTGTGTTAATAACTGATGCAGCAGGCATATTGTGTGGGCTCTTGATTGTTTAAATAAAAAATTATTTTATTAATGGCTCACATCCCCCCCCCCCCCCCCCCCCCCGGAAACAAGTTAGTCACCTCCTCTGCAAGTAAATCATCCATGAAGAACACCAAATGAAACCCATGTCAAGAAGCATAGAACTAAGAGGGGATGCTGCCTACATTGCCCCTCCAAGTGTCCCCTTATTGTCCAATCTGATCAGAATTATGAGTATAATTCACAGCAAAATCACTAGGCTAAGGACAGGTTATTTGGTGGTTACCTAGCAACAATAAAAAATTAAAAAAAAGCGTTTATTATAAATTGTAGGTTTTTAACAAAAAAGGCGCTCTGTTAGTTGATTATGTCATGGAAAGAAGCTGACAATCTGACATAAATAAGTGAGAAATAGGGAGATTTAAACCCTTTTGATTTATCCAGTTTTATAGAACAGAAAAGTGGCTCTACATACAGCCACTGGGTAACAATGAAGGGTGGATCACTCCTAAACCAAAACACTTCTTCTCCCAGCAGTTCCTTGCCAGTAACTGGTTATGAGGAATGCATCTGTGCATTTCTGATTTCTTCGTGGTTACTTTGTCATTCCTGGTGGCAAGAGAGCAATACACTTCATAGAAACAGGAGGGCTAACTAGCACCATTAGCAAACTTAGCACAGTTAGTACAGCTGCCTCTACCTTGTAATCCTCTCACATTTCACAGCAATAAAGTGGTCAAATAAATGCAAGGCTGTCCTGCATTTTTTTTTTTTATATTTGAATTCAAAATGTATAATGATTAGTCGTCACTGCCATCATGCTGCCCAATCTCAGTGACTGGCACAAACAATAAGCCTGACTGGATCACAGCGGAGACATCCAGGTAATTATCTTCTGTCCACTTGTGAGCCCCACACCCGTCCAACGCTCACAGCGAAGCTTTCCAAGTCAATGGGAGGGTAGAGTACAGACATAAAGGAAATGAACAATGCCTTCCAGGCTTGGAGAGGAAAAATGGTTGTGGTGCATAATGGTAACCCCCACCTCAATGCAATGCAAGACAATTCTGGCACTAAGGCGAAGAACATTACCCAGGCAGCTCCTAATTAACAGCATGCAATTCTGTGGCTGCTGCTGCTGTGATGCCATTCGTCTTTTCAGGGGTGCCAGAAGGCTAGATCGTCACCCAGGTGTTAAGTATAAGCAGGACCTTTTGTTTAATCCTATAAGTTTTCAAATTAACGTTTAACTGAACATATTATATTTATTTGCCGTGACACTCAACACTACAGCAGCAGATTGTACAGGCAAAGCTGATAAGGGCAGTCACATATCCTGGCAACATTCAATTTCCACAGTGCCAGATAGTATTTAATTTGGCTCTATACGAAATAACTTTCATTCTAATATTTTCATGAGCAAATGCAACGTTAAGTTAACGTCAGGCTAACTCGGGCAACTGTGCAACAATACAATGAGCTAGGAAGATACCACCAACGAACACCTACAGAACCACTCATATTTGTGTGCATCTACTAATTTATAAGATTAGTAAAATATTCTGTGACGGTAACGTTAATTTAGCGACGACGTTCCCCCTTCTTTACGTTAGCCTAGCTAGGCTAACGTTTAGCCTCCAACCCCCATTCTGATTCTCTGAACTAGCTAGCTATCCATTCCACTCCACCCAAACCCCCCTCCCCCATGACACCCACCCTGAATCGCAAAAAGCCCTTAAATCGGCTTTCCGTACCTGGGGTCAGCCTGTGTTCGCCTCCTATGGCCGGAGGAGACATCGAGTGCGTTGGGCTGTCGACTTGGGGACGGAGGTTGCATCTTTGCGGGGACGGAGTGCTAGTAGTCCCCGGTAGTGGATTGCACCTTCTCCGCTTGGGAGACTGGGGACTGAGGAGGGCCTCAAACTCCATCGACCGCTTTAACGTAGCTCCACAAGCCATGTTAGCAAAACAAAACGGGAAAAAATTAATTAGACAAAAAACGACCCGCAAAAAAATGGGGTTTAACGCTCGTTGTTTGTACGTTTAACGTCCTCGAAATGTCTTGAGCCTTTCTTCCTTTCCACAACAACGGATTTTCTTCTCTGAGTAGTTAGCCAACTGCCGACCCTGCCTGCTGAATTTTTAAAACGTCACAATGGCAGATCCTACCACTGGAGGAAAGAGGGGGGTTGTCAATATTTAAAACACATTACTGTCTATCTCCCAGTGATTTCAATTGCATTTGTTCGAAATAGTTACATTTTTAATTGTATTACTTAATAAATAATGGAATTAATTGCGATATTGTCTTCTCTTTTCCGTTTTTAGTGCTACGATTTCCTGCCAACCAACCCCGTTGTTGTGTGGATTCCTTTCCGTTGAACTCAAATTGAAGGTTCACGAGACGTCTGGTGGTGATGGTCAGGTAAATGAAGTAGCTCAGAAAGACTTTAATCTCCTTCAGTTGACAGCAGATTTTATTTTATATTGTATTATATATTGTATTTGTTACTAACAGGCATCACATTCTATTTTCGCATTGTCTTTGTAATCAGAACACAGAGGATATGACCATAGATACCGTTTTACAATAGGCAATATCCATGCATGGTGATAATGACCTGGATTAGAGTCCCTGAGGAGCTAGGGCTGGGTGATATGGCCAAAAATGTTATCACGATAAAAACATTTCATATCATTTAATGTCGATAATTTTCACAATATATGTCAAATCATTATTTCTTTCAAGTTTAAAGGCTATTTTTGGCTCCTGAATGAAAATCGAAGAAACCAGATGGTTAATTATGTGGTTAAACTTTTTTAATGGTCAGAATGTGACAAACATTTGATGCCAAACAGTGGATCACTTCACAAATCTGAGGTAGAACATTAAAAACTATTATGATAAAATCTTTTTCAACAAATATGATGAGTAAATCATTTTTCAGTCCCTTTTCCTCAACAAAATACATATTTTAATAGAAAAAAAAGTGCTAATTTGTCTGTGATTCAAATAATTTAAACCAAATATTTATTGACGATATATTAAACATTTATTATATTGTTATTGAGGAAAATTATATTGTGATAATTATCATTATTGTTTTACTGCCCAGCCCTATGAGAAGCAATGTTTTGTTAGAGAGCTTGATCATACTATACACAAGGAGGAATTGTATTATTTTGTATGCACTGTATGGAAGCATTTGTATTGTAAGTAGAGATCTGATCTAATTTTCCTATGCTCCATACCACTCCTAGTGTATCACACTCATTAGTAACCAGTCACACATTCACTGCAGTCTATAGTTTTGAGTAACTCAAACAGTTATTGTCCAGTAATGAATCACCCATCGATATGTGCTGCAGTCGCCACTACTGGATGTTCATCTGGTTGTGACAGATGTTTTATGTGTAAGATGTTTCCATGCATATAAGATACACTGATAAAATGAACACTGTTGATCCCTGATTGGGGGAAAAATATATAATACTTTCTCACTGGGATTAAAAATCTATTTTACATCAATGTCCTGGTTTGATAATGCATAATATAAATAACAAAATCATATGCAGTTATCAATAACCTATGGAAAGAACTAAATATGCCGCTAGAATACTATTATTCTGTGTTTGTAGCTTGTATCTAGCTTAAATAGCTGGGGAGTATTTAGCAATATCAATTAAAGGGGCATTTAGCATATTCTCATAAAAGCAGTAAAAGACAATGAACAGTCCTATTCTTAATTTTCCGCTGAGCAGGTCCATTAAATAGGACATAAATTTATATTATTCCAAGCTATTGTATTCTTTAGTTGTTTCTTATTATTATGTGTAGGAGGTTTAAGAATAAAATCCACCCATTACCAACTTTATGATCATTTTGGAGGCTGTAATTTGAGATGTTAATGAATTGTATTGCGTTATACTGAGGGGTGTTTCTAGTGTTTAGTCTACCCTCATTTATATAAATGGTGTAGGCTACAAAATAATACAAATACCACCTCACAGTATAACACATATTATTATTCCTCTCTAAAATAGATTCAACAAAAGTGTATATAACCTGTGATCTTCCTTTACGATGTTGTTTTTGGGAACAGTATAATGCCCTGTACTAATTTTGTCCTACCATCTCCCTCTTTTGCCTTTTGACAATTATGTATTTTCCCACATTTTGTGTCAGATTTTCTGGCATGGCAAACTCCAAATACCAAGCATGCAACTTCTGACAGCAGAGATCCACCCAGTTGATTGACACAGACATGGCGGCTCTTACAATTCATTGCAAACACCAAACTGCTGACTCGTTTTTGCACTCAACAATGAGTAAAGATGACAGACGAGTACGATTTTGTAATTGTGACATTTGCTTGGAAAAATAGCATGGCCAAGTATTATTTTTAATCAGTTTATACAGTGGTTGAAACATATTTTCTGTCTAGAATCCAATGACCTAAGATCAGAAATTGTGTTTTACTTGTGTTTCTCTAATTTGTTACTTTACAGTATGCGTCCCTGTGAATTTAAGTGAATGTCAGTATCTGTTTTACTGCAGCTGCCAGTTGTCAATATTGCAAAGAGTGTTCTAGTCTCTGTGCTCGTTCTCTTCCTGGCATGTGCCCCATTCACCCCCGGCACACTGCTTGGATTCATGTGGCGAACACTGTGTGAAATCCTCCTGTGCATGGGGCTTTTGTGGAGTCCTGGCATTCAGTAGCAGATAGGATAGGCAACCCACATGCTCAGGGACAAATCCTCAAACATAAACAAACACATGAACAACAACATCACCCTTTCTACCATGTGGTGTACCCAAAAGTTAAGTCAGCACTTCAGTTCACAGGGCACAGTATGTCATAGAAGTGAGGAGGCAGAGACGTCAAAGGTTATGTGTTGTGTTGAATGGCCTGGCCACATCACATCATCTCAGTTAAAAAAGGCCAACATACACTAAACCTTTTGCCTGGCATTAACCAATGCCTATAAAATGCTTTTATAAAAGTCCTTGTGTCCTACTTGCATATAGATAACTATATTTTGGAATCGTGCCATGTTAATCACACTTACTGTATTATCAGTGCAATTTTTAACTGCTAGCAAAACATAACATGTAGCATGTTTCTAACATTTTATAGGCTTTCTGATACATTACTACTGACAATATTCTAGAGTTATTGTTTGATAGACTTTACTACAATAGACTCGTTCAAAAAGGGAAATTTAAGTATTTGCTAGTACTAATCATTTGATGAGAATAAATTCTGCTTGTAGATATTGTAGATTTTATTCTTAATCTAGAGTGACATTCTTTAGACCCAAAGCACGCTGCCATTACAGACACCTCTTGATTTGTACAGCTACTCCATAATTTCAACACATTTTCTGATGTTCAGCTGCTGATTGTTCACCACTTCTGAGACAGAGACAACTTGACTGGTCATGGGCATCTCATCTTCAGACAGGGGAATGCAGGTGTCTTCTGCGGAGGGTAATCCTTGGGTTGAGTCCTCTGTAGATTTTTTACACCTCCTAATTTTACACATCCTTTGTAGCAACTGCAGTAGAGCAACTCTTAGATCTCGGCAGCGCAGTCCATACAGCAGTGGGTTAACTGCAGAGTTAACCAGGCAGAGGGTGCTGCAAAATGCGAAGGCCCTCTGTTGGTTGCGGGTCAGGAGCACAGAAACATCAGCTAACATGATCGAGAGTGCAGGGAGCCAGCAGCCCACTAGTATGAGTAGGATCAGGCCAAAGGTACGTGCTAGCCGGATATCCATCCTCATGCGGGCCTGGCCTGTCCCTGCTGCTCCCTGGAAACTTGTCATGGAGGACTCATGGCGGTGGGCCTTCCACAGGATGAGAGCATAAGCCCCCAAAATGAGAGCCAGAAGCACCAGGATGAAGCTGGTCCAGCAGGCCAGATAGCCCTGGTTGATGTAGGGAAACAGGCGTGAGCAGGGGGGATTGAGCTCTGTGGGACACCTCCAGCCCATCAGTGGCAAGAAGGAGATGAAGATGGTGGCACTCCAGAGGATCAGCAGGCTCAGCAGTGCTCGCCGGCGGGTCAGTAGTAACTTATAACTGGAGGCCTGGTGGATGCAGAGGTAGCGGTCCAGAGCGGTCAGCAGTAAACTCCCCACTGAGCTACTGAAGGCCATAGTGACACCACCTAATTTAAAGAGGTAGGCGGTGGGGCCGTCACTGCGGCGAAAGAGGTGAAAGTCGAGGAAGCTGGTGGTGAAGAAGCAGCTGGCGAAGACATCAGCCAGAGCAAGGCTGGCAATGAAAAGATATGAAGGTCGTTGCCGCAGGGTGGCTGTGGCAGCGATCACTCCCAAAACCAGAACATTCTCCAGCAGTGTGACAGGGCCTGCCAGGAAACATATGGAGCCAATGGCTGTCTTCTCCGCCTCGACGAGGACCATGTAGCATTCCAGATTCTCACAAGACCTGTTAACTGTGAGAAAAACACAGGTGTATATATGAGGACAAATTTTAGTGTGCAATTGTACTGAAACTACAACTGCCATTATAAATGCACCATTAAGTCCCGCAATTGCTGGACCCCATTATCTTGAACTATTTCAGATTCTGAAGAAGTAAGGTAATGTATTTATTTGAGGCTGCATACCTGTTGGTAATGAGGAGTCCTCTTTGGCTTCTGTAGATCCTAAAGAAGTGGGTTCCCAATCCTCCATTTCAGTTGTTACTATGTGGGCCAGTGCTAGATTGTGAATAGGAAATATTTTTTTTGGATTAATACAAAAAATTAAGACATCTGTAGCATAATTGGAATTGGAAATCATCACAATTTTATTAAAAACTCTTTTAAAATAAAAAATACTGTATCTTTCACTTTCTCCAGTATTATAGTATAAGTATACGAGTAGAACTTCGAAGCAAATATTTGTTTGAGAAAATGTTTCTTGAAACAAACTATTTGATTTCATTTTTGTCAGAAAGAAGCAATTGTTTCCATCATAAAACTTACATTGTTATAAAATAACAATTTCATGTTCGAAAATAAAATAAAATGCAGTAAGCGTACTAACATAACTGAATGTGTGAACAAAGCAAACACGCCAGGATCCAAATATCTAACAGGAAGTAGAAAATGTGATGACTTTCCTCTCTGTGTCAATATTGAACTTAGTGTTAACATTTGTGAGTCCAGAGCAAGTCCAGAGCAAACAGACAATGATCACTACAGTATCTGCTGATTGTTATGGCCATGCTTGTCTCGTGTTTTCCCCCTTCTCTGTGTTCAAGTGCTCCCCTGCCTGTCTCTGGGTATGTGTTTGTGGTCTCCCCTCCTGGCTCCTGGTGGCACGTCAACTCTCCAACATCACCTCAGAAGTACATTTATATCCTGGCTCAACTCTCACTTGTTGGCAGACCACTGTTTCACTGCAGTGGTGTGATTATTATTCATCTTGATGCCTGTTGCTAATTGCCTTTTCCTTGTGCCTCAGGATCGTCTCTCATCTCATGCTTTCCTCCCTGCTTGTTGACTGCTGACCTCCAAGAGCTCCTGCCTGCCAACTAGTGCTTCCCTTACCTTTGCTGGCCACACAGCCTTGGCATTCTCCATTCCTCCTCTACCATCTGCGATAACCAGCCATCCTTTCACCTCAACCCTTATCCAACTATTTACTTAAAAATCCAAAGAGCTTCAAGTCTGTCCTTACTATGTAGAAACATTTTAATACAATCAGTGTGATCATGATGCGTTTAGTGTGATTCCTAGGTTCTTATCACTTTCACATATAACCCAGCAGCTGGGTGTATGATGAATTGCAACACTTGAACATGAATGTATGTTGTGAGTTTTTCCAAGACATTTTTGCCTTTATTTTATTAGGACAGTGGTTAGAGAGGAAACGAGAGAGAGATTGGGGTTGCAAAGGACCACAGGCAGAAACTTTGAACCATGACAGTATCTCTCTGTAACCCTCTCTGCAAGACACCCTCTGTAAGTGAAGTAATTTTAGGAACTGAGCTAGTCCAGAGAATTATTATTAAATTCATATTTCCACAGTCACTTTGGCAGTGATTTTACTGTTAAGTGCGTTCATACATAATAGCAAACTCCAGTTGTTGGCCTAATATCATATTTAACAGGATGAAGACTGCCCCCTTTTGGAATTAGAGGGGATTGTACTTTAACAAAGCAGTAAATCGGAGGGTGAAGGTCGCTACAGAGATAAATAATCTCCTGTAGAGTGTTTCACCTGTATGCAATCAATAGATTAAACTAAGTGTGGGAAGCTGATGTAAGAGGATTTTATTCATGTAAATAATGTGATAAACAGGAGTGGTCACCTATAATTGCTTTCACAGGATGGCTTAAACATAAAGAATATTTTATAGGCAAAAACGTGATATACTCGTATACTATATACTATAACGTGTAATAAATCTCAATAATCTTGAATAAACAGTTTTTGCAGCTGGAAAAAATTAAACTACTTAAAACAAACATTAAAATGGATAAAGGAAAGCATTAAGCTTAAATGATGCAATTTAAGTGATTACTTTTCGCAGGAGTATAGACTGAAGAGTACGTTTTCACCCAATCAGGTCACTATGCCCTTCATTCCATTGTTTTCCCTTCATTCTGTTTCCACTGGCCATTATTTCTGTTTGTCATTACAAATATGACACTGCCTTATTAAAGCACAGAAAAAATATATGAAGTGGTGGTAAAGTAAATTACTTTCCAGAAAGCCCCTTATTGGCTTGAAGGACAATATTTCTCAATTTTACTATGGGCCATATGGGTGCATGCACTGTGGATATTACACCACCTGAGGCGTTCTCTTTTCTCTCCCTTGTGGTGAAAAATCTTGATTGACAGAGTGATGTGTTTTGACTCCTAAGAACCATTCTTATATTCATAAAGTTATAGAAATGATTGCTTCGCCAGGAAAGCACCTACATATACATATATAAACAGGCACCCATTTTCTTCACATCATTGACATTGAAATACGGTGTGGCAATAACCCGTTGAGTCACTGTTGCGCCCTGCCACATTGTTGCAAAATATCACAGTCCCTACTTGCATGAGTAGAACAAATGCAATGACTACTTGAAATCTCTTATTTTGTAGTAGCAACAGATAATTGAAGCACTGTAAAATAGGTCAAAAGTAACAGATCTACAGCACAAATACACATATTGAATACAACATAAGTTGCTGAAGAACAAGAACAGACAATCTATTTTCCCTTATAATTTCTACATGCAAAATGTGTAAATCCTATTTCACAGAGACATCATCACAACACAATCCAATCCAAATTAGGAACTAACAGTCACTCCACCACTGTAATGAAATAACATTTTAAGAGCTTACCCTTGTGTTTTCTGACGTCTGCAGTTTTATAGCTCTTTTCCTGATACAGAAGATCTGAGGTAGGTCTCTTAGCAGCAAAGCAACCACAGAGACCTACAGACCTGACTGGTGTGCGAGTGAGGGGAGAAGATAGGAAGGGTGGCTGTGATGACACGAGAGAGGGGGAGAGAGAGATACAGAAAGAAACAGAGAGAGAGAGAGGAAATAACCCAAATTATATTATTTTGAAGTATTATACAACAGGAGTCCCTTTTTATATGTTTCATTATATGTAATAGAGATGAAAACAATTAGATGAAACATTTTCATAGATTTAGAGAGCAAGTGTAGTGATCACACACTTCTAAGTGTTGTGTCCTTCTTGAGCGATGCCTTTCCAGCAGACAGGGTCAGGATGGACTCAGGGGAGGAGAGCACTTTTAGAATAGTGTTAGGTTGCTAGGCGTGAAAAATATGTGAAAAACAAATGAAATGACTACTTGAAATCTCTTATTTTGTAGTAGCAACAGATAATTGAAGCACTGTAAAATAGGTCAAAAGTAACAGATCTACAGCACAAATACACATATTGAATACAACATAAGTTGCTGAAGAACAAGAACAGACAACTTATTTTCCCTTATAACTTCTACATGCAAAATGTGTAAATCCTATTTCACAGAGACATCATCACAACGACAGATTAAATCCAAATTAGGAACTAACAGTCACTCCACCACTGTAATGAAATAACATTTCAAGAGCTTACCCTTATTTTTTGTGACGTCTGCGGTTTTATAGCTTTTTTCCTGATACAGAAGATCTGAGGTAGGTCTCTTAGCAGCAGAGCAACCACAGAGACCTACAGACCTGACTGGTGTGCGAGTGAGGGGAGAAGATAGGAAGGGTGGCTGTGATGACACGAGAGAGGGGGAGAGAGAGATACAGAAAGAAACGGAGAGAGAGGAAATAACCCAAATTATATTATTTTGAAGTATTATACAACAGGAGTCCCTTTTTATATGTTTCATTATATGTAATAGAGATGAAAACAATTAGATGAAACATTTTCATAGATTTAGAGAGCAAGTGTAGTGATCACACACTTCTAAGTGTTGTGTCCTTCTTGAGCGATGCCTTTCCAGCAGACAGGGTCAGGATGGACTCAGGGGAGGAGAGCACTTTTAGAATAGTGTTAGGTTGCTAGGCGTGAAAAATATGTTGATAAAAATGGAGGACAAACACACACTATACTGCATTTATTTGGAAAATATAAATTAGGTGACCTTCCATGGTTGGATTATGCTTGGCTGTGAATCCATTACTCCAAGCCTGACAGTGTTATTTTAATGCATTAACAGCCTTGTAAATGGAACTTGGGTTAAGATTATTTTGCCACACTACTATTCTAAAGGTCAAGAATGAACTTTCTTGTTCATTGACAACCTTATTTGATATGTTTTACCTAGTCAAGGTAGCTATAGACATCTTTCCACTGAATTATTCCTATTTGTGCAACAATGGTGTTTCCTTCCACATCTTTTGCTAATTACTTTCCACTCATCTTCATTTGGCAGACCGTATCTGGCATCATGCATGAACGCACTCACCTCTTCCTTGTAGGATCACATGGGTAAAGCTATTTTAACGTAACATACTGCTTGAAGGATTACAAGAAAATCTTAATTGCTTGCGTTTGGTGGAGGGAAGGACTGGCAAGATGATAAAAAGGAAGGCTTAATTACTGGTATGTTTGCTTTGCTCATTTAAAGATTGTCATAAAATTGTTCCTTTGAAAACACTGGACTGCCTCAGTTGTTCAATTATTTTGCTTCCATACTTTTCTCCTAATATTTTATTCTTAAAACTGTCTCTCTGTTTTATTAATACAGGGTAATTTCAGATGTTTAATATGGTATCTTGAATATGAAATAATCAACCATGTTTAAACCCACATTTGAATACTGAGGCCTGTAAGTCAGCTGATTGATTGGAAATTCACAAGGATTTTGATTTTTCTTTTGTAATACTTTATGCACTAATACCTACTGAAGCCAAGGTTAGGGTGTAATGCTGCCTGTAGTACAACAGGGGGCAATGCTAAGCAACCATGAACAAGTGATTATTATGAGTGACTCTCTTTACTGGCAGTTTTTACTGCTTTTTACGGCTAATGATAGTGCAAGGTTAGATAGTTGTTCAGTCTTTTAATCTTCATTATTTTTCATAGATACAAAATTAAACTCACCAAGCAGTTCTCTCTGCAATTAAGGTCGTTTAATTTAGCGTACGTCCCTCTGGTAAAAAAAAAATAAAATACATTAGTAGTTCAATAACATTTCATTTGGGTCACAACATCACATACCTGAGGCATTCTGAAATGAATTAGCATCCTTTTTTTAGCCTCTCATTTTAGAGAAATGTATGCTAAATAAAACAGTAACTGGGACAAATATATCATATGACATGGCAAGAAATGTTTTGTGACATGTTCATATTCAGACAGCATTCAAGTAAATTATGATTTTTTTTAAAAAAGAAACCAGTCTTGTAATGATAAAGGGATATCTGGTGCACTGGCCATATCTCCCCCTCCTCTGGCCTGATAGATCCAGCAGGCCAGAAGGCAGGAAATGTGATTAGGAGCAGACAGCACAGCTCCAATAAGATTTCTTCTCAGTCACTGTCTGGCCAGGTGCAGCACAACAGAAAAGACCACAGGATAGAATAAAGCCTAAAATGTTCAAATATCAGTTGGATTACATGCTGTTATGCAATCCTTTTTTTTTAAATCACCCTGGATACAAACATTAGGGCTCGCTTTGCTGTTTCAGATGGATTTGGGTAAAATCCATTAATCAAATTTCCTCTTCTCATTTCCAGATTGCCAGACCTTCAGACAGCAGTATCAGATCACTGATGTGAAATGAACAGATCAAACAAAAATCTAATTACTTCATGCTAAATGCTTTAATAATGATTAATTATTTACTCTGGTTCTTGGAATAATATAATGCATTTTCACTGTAAAATGAAAATGCATAGATATATGTCATTGTAAAATGAGAATGAAAGGCTCAAATTATACATTTGGAAATTATAGTGTGGACTGAAAACTATAAACATACTCAAAATTAATAGAAAACATTTATAATATAAAATAAAATAAATCTAACATTACATCTTTTTCTGCATTTGCCATTTTCATTATTCAAGTATCCAACTGTAAAGTAGTAGACTTGATTTTAGCATTTAACAATTTCCACTTACATTTTTAATGGGTATTATGTTGACTTGTACTGACTTGTACATGTCCTCGGGGCTATAAGCCAAAGTAATTATTCAATTATTATTATTATTTAGCAGTTTTTATTATTCAGTTGTGTTTTCTGCCAGATTAAAATTAAATTGAGCACTTATTTCAGGGAAATTCCTTTTGAAAATGAACATCTGTTTGCAAAGTCTAATTAAGTCATTGTTTGTTTTCCCTATAAGTAGGCAAGACTATGCAATTCTTTTCCATATAACTATCCAAGGAAATTGTTAGAAAATGCACATAACTAAGAACACTGGAATCAAGTTAGAAAACACCCACCATATGTGGGACTCTAACAGTAGAATATAAGTTAAGAAGAATGTGCCAAAACTCTCAAATTCCTTGAAGAAATCCCATAGACATGACATCAGTGACTCAATGGTAGCTAAGTACTGCCCCACTTGAACATAAGAAACATCAGTTTTCTTCTAACCCTGTATTTTACTGTGTATTGGCTTATTTTAAAACTTTAAGACATTTTAGATTAGAAAAACATTTGAAGGCCAAACACCTCAGCGCCTGAAAAACAAAATGTTGAGCAAAGGACCCAAGAGCTTTATCAGTGTTGTGTGGGACTGTAAGAATATTGATCCTCCATAGTTCCGTAGGAGGGTGGAACTTAGATATTGTGTTAAATAGGAGATTTTATTTTTTTCATGTTTGAAACACCTGATAACTTCATAATACTTATGGTTAGGTGGGTAATGGCACTTGGCATGTATTTATGTTGCTAATCTGCCACAATTTACAGCATTTTTATTTTAAAGACAGAGATGTGGGCACATGTGTGTCTTTGACTAGACTGTATAGGCCTACACATATTTAATTAGTGTTGATAGTGGTTACTGATTCATAGTCATTGTATGAGTCAAATTCCTTGTATGTGTGCACATACTTCACCAATAAAGTTGATTTGGATTCTGAATGTGGGCTTCTTGTATGAATGCATTCAGGCTCTTTGTGTTATGTCACTGTTGTGCCCCCACCAAACTAAAATAAAGATTTTTACTAAAGGAGAGATTTGATCTGAATGCGTTTCCTGGTATTATAAAAAGTCTTTACTTGCTGCTGAGTGGTGTGAAACTGTTTCTGCTTCTGTTCTTTCCCACTTCACTTTGTGTGGGTGTGTTTCACAACACATTTGACACTATTCGGATTCATGTGAAACTCCATTGATGATTCACTTTCCACCATTTACACCCAATAACTACTGTAAATGGCCTGTTCCGAGAGAGTGTATCTGTCTGTGTGAAAAATATCTATGCTGTGTAGGAAATAAAATAACCTGGCAGCATTTGTACACCACTGTTGTTTTGAAAATATTTTCCATTCCACTTTCCAGGTTGGCCTGTACATTCACTGTGTCTATGAAAAGACATATGCCTACATGTTTACAGAATGTCTTTACGACCACTCAGTCATGGAGTTTAGTCCACCACATATGTTCTGTATGACCTACAGAAGCCTCTTGGTGACCTACTTTCCATACATAGCTGACTCTTGATGGCTGCAACTGGCTGCAACCCCCTACAAAGGTTTACTTAAGGGAGTGTCCTTCCACTGCCTTCAGCTGTGAACACTGGTTGACACAGCCTGTGTTGCGCAACTCTTTAAAAATCCAGACACTTTAAACAAGGTATGAGGGAGAATAACGCTGACTTTGCACTTAGACATGAAGTTAATCTTTCATGGTACTTGTTTTGTATTCTTTAGACTTGGACCTGCAGACTACCATAAAACCAACTGGAAGGGTGTAATACCATCCACAACCAGTACATAGCCTACTAGGTGGAAAGTAAGAACTGCATTTTTCAAAAGCAAACACTAAGTGTTGTAAGAAAGTGAAATTAAACACAATACCCCAGTATAACACATGATATACAAAGGCTAAAAGCTATATTGTGACGAATAACAAAGACCAAGTTATAATCTTTCGAGCAGGAGTTTAGTTACTAAAAGGCCCCAAATAGTCTCAACTTTTAAGTGAGCCATACCTTGTATGTCCTGGGATTTTTAACGTCATTTTATTAACCCCACAAACATCTGCTCACCAGGATACTGAAGTCCATTTGAGGTGTTGTGGCTCTAGGTTAATTCAACAAAACATCAAGGGAAGATGACTTGTCCATATGCTGCTAAAGATTTATGACAGTATGACATTTATATGGCACTCATTTGTTTGGTAGTAGATTAACTCTGAAGTGGGCCTTTGTATCAAAGCGTAGTAGGCTAATCATCATCACTATATCATTGTACCACCATGTAAATTCATCAAAAATAATATAATATTATTTGAAAAGGGAAAAATCTTGCATTCCCTTTCCTGTTCTCATTTCACTCTTCCACCAGCTGGAAAATGATAAGAGGGCTAAATGACCTGTTCCAATAAATTGGTCAAGGTTTTGTTTAAGCAAGAGGACAGATGATATGGGGGGGTAGGGCAGCTCACAGACAGTTGCGTATCATTACCGCCTGTTGCAGCTGTTTCAAGCCAGTACAATGGGCTTAACATACACAAACAGAAACTGTGGAACAACAAATCCGTTTTCCCCTAGCAGAAAAAGCATTAAGTACGTCAATAAATCTAAACTGTGGATGTGTTTACCTTATTTGAACGACGGACTGACATTACATAACACAAAACTATTGTAGCCTAAACCTTCATATGATGTTGTATGTAACCTTAAGAGTTACTTCCTAGATAATATATCTTGAAAGCGGGCGTTTATTAGTGTTTGAAAGGGTTTATTTTCTGTTATTTTCACACTTCTCTCCGGAAATACCCGAACTCCAACAAAGGAAAGAAGAGGAGGATCAGCGATTGACGTCACCGGTCTGGCAACAGGCGTGAATGCGTCTGGCTGTCTCTTCGATGATTGGTCGTTCGGTTTGTACTCGACACGCGATTGGTCAGATCTCAGTTAGAACGAGCTACATATCCCTGCTGTGGATTCCATTTTGTTGCAATTCAGACGGAGTCGGGAGAGAGAAGTAACGTCCAACGGCCACTTTTAGCACCACAAAAGCGTCGAGGGTAACGGGGTTTGTAGGAAATATAGCTTGCTGTGCTTCCTGCATAGTCCGCCGAGGGATTGTAAAGGCTAATCTCACATATTCTCGGACGAGGGGCTTCATCAACCAAGCCTAAAGGAGTCGGTAAGAAAAGCTGTTTGTACCTCGTCGCCATATTGAGCTCAGTTTCTTTGTTTTGGTTTGGTGCCAAAGTGGAGTGAAAGCAGTACCTATTATAAAACAGGTGGGATTATTAATCAAAACTCAAATTGATCGAGACTATTACATTGAAAAATACTAAACAAAGGCACTTGATTGCCTTTAAGCCAAGTTACTGGCGCACAAACAATAATGAGATAACACGTCGCAAGTTACTTATGTAACATTTTATTATAACCACCAGTAGTTTTATAAAACTATTTTCACAAAGTTATTGCCGTTTCGTTTGTTGGTTTTTGCAGAGCTAGATGCAATGACGCACTCCGAAATAGCTGCTCCTGAAAGGAAACATCAATGCTATGGCGAAAGACGGAAGAATATTGTTTTCATTATGTCGTGCGTATTTTGCATTTCTAATGGCCGACATTTTCTTTCCCAAAAAGGTCTTCGGCTTCTTGGAGCATCGTGCGCCGAGGTGAATGTTTAGCCCGGCTCCACGAGAAAACAACGCTCTTTGGCACATGAAAACCACAGATCTTGCTGGACACACAAAATTGCAGCGAGAAGTAGACAGAGAACTACTTCGAGGACCTGGGGCCCGATTGGAGGTGAACGATTGAAGAGAGACCACTGCTTCTTTAACTTTCTGACAACAAAGAGGTGAGCTGAAGATGTTGCTGGTCGGTTGTGTGTGTGGGGGAGGGGCGACGCAGGCCTGGCTGTCTGGCGTGTCTGCACGTAGCCCTGTGGACTTGTTTTTGTCGAGTGTGTACGTGTTGTGTGGACGGATTACGCAATATCAATAGCCAATAAATAGAATATCTTCCAAGCGAATCACAATGCATCATTAATACTAAAAAGTTTTCTTTAATAAACAACTTTAGTAATCCTGTATTCTCATCATGTAGGTGACACGTAGTGCAAAAGCAGTATGGGAGGTGGAGAGAGGTACAACATTCCAGTTTCCCACCCTGAGCGCCCTTTGGCCAAGAAGAACCACCAACTTGGCCGGGCTAAGCAGAGAAGCCGTGACCAGAATGGTGCAGCAGCATCTGCAGGAGTAGGGGGCCTTCACCACCACGGCCACCGCCGGAGCGACAAGGGCGCAGCCCTACCACAGGTCTCCAGAGGCACGGCAGGCCGTGTCTGCTGAGAAGAATGCTTCTGTTCGATTTGCCACCCACTATGATCAGAACTGGGAGGGTGCAGTGTCTCACCTCAACACGCTCCTGGCCACACAAGGAAGTCCGAGCTACGCAGGGCCGAAGTTCAGCGAGCCACCCTCGCCTAGCGTGTTGCCCAAACCCCCCAGCCACTGGGTGTCCTTCCCGATGGGCTCCTATGACAACAGGGAGATGATGGCCTTCCAGCTCAAGAGCCTCCTCAAGGTGCAGGCCTGAGAGGGATACCCACACTTCACAAAACCAATGCATGAACTGGGACTCTTTTGAGAGCACCCACCCACCAGGAACACCTCAGTGCTGTAATACTTTTAACTGTTTTTTAGACTGACCTCTTTGAGTGTCAGGAGGCATTTGCAGCAGTGTTTGCTGTGAATGTATTTGACACCTTTTTTTTTTTTTAAACAAAAAACAAAACAACCTTGTATTTCAATACATTACAGCCTTGTAGCCTTGCTGGTCGGTGATGCTTTTAGTAGAGTCAGTTTCTGAGACTAATGACAAACTGGATAGCCTTTTGTACTTCTGTTTTGTTCTTTTTAATCATGGCTGTCAAAGCAGATGAGTGTGCTTATTTTCCAAATAAGGGTTATAGTATAGGTCAGGTAAGTTCCCATCACTTTTACGGTCCATTTCTGTGGACAGACTAGCTTTATCATTTACATAAGTTTTATGATGATTCTTTAGAGTCACCTCTAAAGCTTCAGGTGCTAAAGCTAACAATTCCGTAGCAATTTTTTGACTAGGGCCCACCTTTTTTCTTATGTATTACGTTCCTTGTTTGGGATGGAAAAGGCACTCAACTGCAATTCTGCAGGGAGAAAAACTATCTTACTGGAGTAATAAGCTGTAGTGAGCATGTACAGGTCAAAAGTTAAACCTCAAACTGAAGGGTAATAAGAGACCATGGCACACAGGCCTTGGACTGCCAACTCCTGTACCTTTTTTATTGCGCTGTGCGCACATGCACTATAGGAGTTGAGCTTTTGAGGCCTGCAACACTCTATCATAGCATTATTTTGTACAAGTCCGTTTTTGTTGTGGTTGAAAGATGTAAGAAGTGCTGTGTGTGTGTGTGTGTTTGTAACCAAAGCAATGTTTTTGCTGTAACCTCCACCCCCTCTTTTTTTGGACATCTGTGTGGTCGGCATAGTTACCATTGCCGCTTTGACCTTGCCAGCTGGAGTGGGTGAATGGGTTAGAGTCCCTTAGGTAACTTCTAACTGTTCATCTGTTTCAATCAGTGCTGTTATTACAACTCTCAAACCTATTCAGGACAGTGCTGCAGCTTTTAACATGCGGAAGAGGGCCAGGCTTGGATGTTGGACTGAGTTTCACTTTGTCTCACTAAGCCACATGACGTTGTCCTGTTAGCTGCGTGCCATTGTAAGGTATGGTAGAGCTGAGGATGGGTTTCTGAAGTGAAGTAGCCCAAGGGACTCGACACGAGGCAGGTTTTATGTTTACAAATTAGGTCTGTAGTTGACCATCGAAAAATCAACACACTCTGCCTCTTGTTTACCCTCTTGCACTGCAATCAGACAAATTTATTATTATTATTTTTTTAAATAAGTTACAGGCCAGGATGCTATTGAAATGGAGGCGTAATTGACTATCTCCCTATGGATACTCTATTTTTGTGATGCAATCCTCTATTGAGGCTCTTTTTGCTTTCCCTTTGCAGAATTGGAGCTGTTTATTGCCAGCTTAAAGATGACAAAACAAAGTATGATAGCTTGTTAGTGTGTTTAAGAGCCATGTAAATAATGAAATGTATAAAGTACTTGTAGCATATGTACATTTGCAGGCCAAGTTGGAGGCCTGTCTGACAAAAGTATTTTTAGTAATAACACTGAATGTATAAGACATGCTAAGGACATGTCTTGACTTCAATGTCTTGACTTAAATACTGAAGAATATTTTTGTTAAAAAAATCTGCCTAAACATTTGTCAGTACCCCTGCACTGTTATACTTCCAGAGATCTTGCACATGTTTTTTTATTTTGTATTATGCAGTGTAGGGTGAAAAATGCTAAATGCAAATGAAGTAAAAGTGCAACAAAAAATCAATTGGATCCCAGAGGAGACTTGCTTGTGTATGGATTTGAGTTCTGAATGTGCTTACAGCGTGTAAGTGTGATGCTATTAATCTTGACCTGTTTGTGCCTAAGTTTGAAACTCATGCTGAAAATGACATGTTTCATTACGTGGCAATGCCACAAACTGACCAAATGTTTCCATCAGAACCACCTTCAGTTCTCAGCTGTTCTTCCGCCACCTGACAACTGAACTTGGTCTCATGCTGTAAAAGTACTTTCTTCTATTGGTTGTTCATGTAAACATTTATTTCTTGCCCGACTGTTGTGCATGGCAAAGTCTCCTTGTTCTAAATTTGAAACCTGTAATGAATTGGCTGTTAATTTGTCCCTCTGAAATGTCACTGACGATGAAAAGAGAATGCCCTGTTTAAGATTGGTATTAATTAGTGTTTCTAAAATAGCAAATGTTAAAGAATGCATTTTATGAATTGATGACAAAATTTTACAAAAGAAATAAATCCCTTCCCCTTCCCCCCCTATTTTGTCTGTGCTTGAATATCTTAACGACTGACTTTGTTTAATACAATACAGGATATGTATACATTTCTTTTCATTGCTGAAAGAAGTCTCCTGCTTTCCAACCCCTGTAACAGTACAGCAGTGAAAATAACAAGAGAATGTATTTATTGATAATACGGTTGCCCTAGTTTTAATAGTTTAAGGAACACTTGAATATTAAAATGAATGTTTCACTCGCTGAACAAAATGCAGCTCATCTTGTACACGTCACATGATATACTGGATAAAGTATTTGGTAGCAGCTAACTGCATTCCATACATTATCCATTGCCACAGTAACTACAGCTATTCAAGTATACAGTTTGCTTGCTGCTGTTTAATAAGTGCCCCTGAAGCCAGAGTACTTAAATACTGGAGAGTCAGGGCCTGAAGTTAAAGGTAATCTTTATTTATGTTTACATAAACAATGGAATTAAACTGTATGAATGTAAATATTGCCAATTCATAAGTACAAAAATAATATTGGCAAACCAAACAGTAGCAATTATTCCACCTTTAGCAACCCACATGACACAAGTCCAAAAAACCTGGCCAAGTTTACCAGGGATCAAATGAAAATCTATCTCCGGGCCTGCTGCTCACTTTCCTTTGGCAACAGACTACCGTAATAATAGACAAATACAAACAGAGCAGAACACTCAAGTATGACAACGTAGTAGGATCATTGTAGTTTAAGAAAATGATAATTACAGAGCTGGGTTTTATTACAAGAGAAAACATTAATAAATCAGCATTTCCAAGATTAAAAGTGGCAAAATTATGAGAAAGAAAACTTTGTGTTTCAGTGGAGACCTATGAAGAGGTGGAGCTTCCAGTTAAGGCAGATGAGGGACTGCAACAAAGCCCCCTGAAAGCCTGCGTCATATCTATATAATGTCATTTATAAATGTAGAAGTGAGGAAAGTCTCATAATACTGGTTGGTGAAATTATTATTATTTGATACTTCAAGCACATCTGAAATATTGTGTAGAGTTTTTACTTAGACATATCACTTATAATCTCAGAATATTCAAGTTTATTTCTCATAAATGTGAGTATTTTCTTTTACCAAGTTAATCTCAGAGAATATCTGTTTTTTTTCCCCTCAGACTATCCCCCCCTCCCCTTGCTTTGTAATTTTATAATTATATATATATAATATATATAATTTTTTATACCTAAAATTCTGCTGTATTCTTGTTATTGTCAAAAGCTAAACAGAAACATTAATTAAGGTTTAGGAGGAACAGATAATCAGTGACCTCCAGATTTGCGTCCAGCCCAGGACCTGGAGCGAGAGCGTGACCGGGACATGGATCTAGAGTAGGACCGGGAGGGAGATCGTCCCACAGACTTTTTCTGGGAGCTGGAAGTTGGGTGGAAGTCTTCAGCTGGGCTGTGAGACCTGGACTGGCTCTTTTTACCTTTGGGCCTGGATCTGGAAGGTGAAGGGGAGCAGGACACGGAGCGACTACGTGAGCCTTCGTCATGGTGTGTCTCGGGTGGTCACGGGGAGGACCTCTGTACCTGGTGGGATGGTCATTAGTTATTAATGATAAAATGTGTGAATTGTTAAGTTCAGAATAGTAACATAGTCATTGCTTGTATTAAATACTGCAACATTAGAAATTAGCATACTTGTCATTTTCATGGCTTCTGCTCCGCCTATGTCTACTGTAGGACCGAGAGCTGTGAGAGAACAAAAACACAAAACCAGTTTTTCAGGGTGTAAAATTGTACAAGACATCGGTGCACCACTTTATTTTCAGGATAAGAACATTGATTTTGTAATTAAGCTATTTTATAGACACAACTGCTTCTAGAAAGGCTCAAATAGTCAGATAAAATAAATAACCACAACAAACTAAAGATCAAAGCTTTAGTCTACTTTTTTCTCCTCTTTGTTCTTATTAGTGTGTTGAGGAAGAAATACAGGTCACACCTGAACTAAAACATACATGAATGTACAAATATGACATTAGGGCTGTACAAAAGAAACTGCACTGTGCAATGTTCAAGTCACAGAAGCTGCAATTTTATAAAAGAAGTTTAAATGTACAGTACTCCCGCAGAGATGCCCTGGCCTACAAATCATCATGTTTGTTTGGTACAGACCCCAACAAATGTCACATCATCATCATTTGAATAGTTTTTTTCAGTTAAAAGTAAAATTGTGATGCAAATAGGCATAGGATGTTATGACATAAAATCATATGAACCCTGCAAACAGACTTAATCTTGTAATGGATGACCTTGTGTTATCTTCTCTTTTAATAGCGCAATAGTGCTCTTTGGCAAATGTTTTTCTTAACCTGGATATTAGTAGGGCTGACCCCAAATAGTCGAAGATTCGATGCTTCGATGGGTCAAGCTCAACATCTGATTTTACATAGAACGTTGGTTACGTATTGTAACCCCAGATTCTATGAGTATAGGCGTAGCCCTCTAAGAGCTGTCGCTATTGGGTTCATCCCCGCGCGCATGCGCAGTCCTGAAGATTTCTTTCGCGCCCATGTGCCGTGCACGGGCCTCTCTCAGGTCCGCAATTTAGGTATATAATACCGGCGAGACCAGAGATCTGCTCCCAAGAGGTCAGCTTTTTTTCTTCAGCCGACGCTGGTGGGACCAGTCGGGCCCGCAGCTTAGAGGGCTACGCCTATACTCATAGAATCTGGGGTTACAATACGTAACCAACGTTCTATTTCGTATAGGCTTCGCCCTCTAAGAGCTGTCGCTATTGGGATAAGGGCGAAGCCAGATGTAGTCAATGCCCACTGGACCCCCAGCGGTCATAAGCATTAACACACCAGCTCACAGTACCCTAATCACACAATGCATGATAGAGACCAAAATGTAGGTCAGTGTTTCCGTCTGGTCTCGAACCAGGTACCTTCGGCATAGAAGGCGAGCGTCAGATCCATTACGCCACGGAAACTGAGATACGCGGCCATCCGCATTAGACCAGATAACAGGATGGCTGAACGCATCACTCCCTGCCTCCCACCTGCTGCTGTGAGGAAATTGGAACGACAGTTACGCATTGTAACCAGTCCCAACAACGAGCAGAGCAGGCGGAAGGATGGGACAACACACACGCATCCCGGCAACGGGGGGTGTGTGTGCGCACGAGAGCGCCCAGGTACAGGCACACACAGACGCACACTGCGGCTTATGTTGAGGGAACAGTAAGGACGGTTGTTACGCATTGTGGCAGTCCAACTGGAGCGCAACTAAGACAGAAGGAGCCCCAACAGCCCGTGGCAAGAGGAGCCTTACCGGCTCCTTTACAGGGAAGCCTATGTGTGCGTAACGTGTCCCGAGCCAGCAGCGTCGCGCCTGGTCTCCAGAACATTCAGTACCGAGTGCGTTAGAGAAAACCCCGATGCATCACGTAAATAGAAGCGGATAAAGGGGCAGGGTGAAGCCCATGATGCCGCTGTGCAAATATCCTCCACAGCCATCCCGCTGAACAGCGCTGTGGAGGAGGACACGGCTCTTGTCGAGTGCGCACGGATGCCGGGTGGGGGGTCCTCCCCAGCCGCAACGTACGGCTGTGTGATGGCCTCACACAGCCAATGAGCCAACCGCTGTTTTGACAGAGACTTGCCTCGTGAATGCTCTCTGTAGTGAACAAACAGCTGTTGAGTTTTTCTGAGGGCAGCCGTGCGCTCTACATAATGAGACAACGCGCGCACCGGGCAGAGACGATGAGATGCTTCCTCCGCCTCGTTTCGATGAGGAGGAGGGAAAAAACCTTCCAGGGAAATAATCCGTGACCTGAAGGAGCTAGTTATAACCTTGGGCATGAACGCTGGGTTCGGCCTCAAGGTGGCGGAGCTCCCGTCAGCTCTGATAGCGAGGCAGGATGGAGCGACTGAGAGAGCGCACAGATCGCTCACCCTCTTAGCAGAGGTCAGTGCCAAAAGGAGGGCTGTCTTCAAGACAGCAGTCTGAGAGAAGTTTGCGGCAGTGGCTCAAAGGGGGGATTGCTCAGAGCGCGCAGCACAAGCGGTAAATCCCACTGTGGCGCCAAGGGGCGCGTGACAGGCCGCTGCCTTCTCACTCCTCTTAAAAAACGCTTAACCAGCGGATGCGCAAAAACCGATCTCTCTCCAAAGCCCTCGTGGCAGGAAGAGATGGCCGCCACGTACGATTTGACTGTGGATAAAGCCAGATTTCTGTCCACCAGCAGCTGGAGGAAGGACAGAACAAGAGATAAGGGACACGAGACGGGGTCCGTGTCTCTTTCCACACACCAGTGCTGAAAAGCGGACCACTTTGCTCTATAAGAAGCAGTAGTGGAGGGAGCCCTAGCGCCTTGGATGGTGCGCACCACATTAGGGGGCAATCCTAATCTTTCAAGGCGCTCCCGTTCAGGGGCCAAGCCCACAAACGCTGACCTATCACTGGGAAGTGTAGGATGGCTCCGTCCAGCTGTGAGAGCGCGTCTCTGCGCCACGGCAGCTGCCACGGTTTCCCCGACAGCAGCTGAATCATCACTGGAAACCATGATGCGCTCGTGCGTTCTGGTGCCACCAGAATCACTGTTAGGAGCTCCTCCTGAATGCGCGCCAGGAGGCGGGGAATCAGAGGAACCGGGGGGAAAGCATAAAGGAGCGTTCTGGGCCACGGGCTGTGTGAGAAGGCGTCCACGCCCAGTGGCGGCTCGTCCCGTGCGTTCAGTGAGAACCACAGTGCGCACTGTGCGTTTTCTCGTGAGGCGAACAGATCTATCTCTGACTCCCCGAATCTGTCCCACAGTTCCTGAGTAAGAGTGGAATTCAGTCTCCACTCGTTCTGAGACGGACCGCCGCGTGACATGAGGTCCGCGGCTCGGTTCTGAACACCGGGAATGTGGAGGGCTCTGATAGAGCGCAGGTTCGCGTGGGCCCACAGCAGCAGGCTCCTGGCTATCTCTAGTAGCCGAGCCGAGCGGACGCCGCCCTGACGGTTTATGTAAGCCGCGGCTGTCATGTTGTCTGTCCTCACCAGCACATGTTTGTCTCTCAGGAGTGGAGCAAAGTGTTTCAGCACTTTCAGCACTGTGGACAGCTCCAGGCCGTTTATGTGGAGAGATGGAGGCTGTGGCCATTTCCCTCCCACCACGTGAGAATGGCACATCCCGCCCCAGCCAATGAGGATGCGTCCGTGTACACTGTGACATGTGACGTCACTTTCCCGAGGGGGGACCCCGCTGAAAGCACGTGAGGGGATTTCCAGTACGTCAGGTCTGACTGTACTGAGGGGGGACGGACAGCAGGCGTCTTTTGTGCTTTATGGGATCGAGGCGGAGACGGCCGAACCATCTCTGGATTTTCCTCATGTGGAGGAGACCCAGAGGGACCACCACGTGACTGGCCGACATCATGCCCAGTAGACGCATCACAGACAAAGCCGTTACCACTTTGTGCGGAGCGATGCGTGAAAGCAGAGAGCTGAGAGCTTCCAGCCTGGCTGGAGATAATCTGGCTCTCATGCGGGCTGAGTCCAGATGCACTCCCAGATAGATTATTGACTGGGAGGGGAGAGGAGAGCTCTTCTGCCAGTTTATGGCAAAACCCAGGCGGGACAGGTGTTTCACGAGCTTCATCGTGTGTAGCGCACAGCTCTCCCTGGACGATGCCATGACAATCAAGTCGTCCAGGTAAAACAACACTCTGACGCCCGACCTGCGCAGCGGCTCCAGCGCTGTCTCCACACATTTGGAGAACGTGCGCGGGGCCAGAGAATAGCCGAAAGGCAGGCGGTTGTATTGAAACTGGGCTCCTCTGAAAGAGAAACGCAGGAATTTCCTGTGTCTGGGGATGATGGGGACATGGAAATAAGCGTCCTTTAGGTCGATGGACGCGAACCAATCCCCGGGACGTACACATTCCAATACGTGCCTGACTGAGAGCATGTGGAACGGCCTCCTCATTATGCATTTGTTGAAGGAGGAGAGATCCAGGATCGGCCTCATTCCGCCCGTTTTCTTGGGCACCAGGAAGTAACGGGAGTAAAAGCCCTCGTTCTCCTCGCCCCGCGGGACTTTTGAAATCGCTCCTTTGCTCAGGAGCTCTGTTATTTCTGCCATCAGAGCAGATGTCTCTGACTGCGATGACATGACGGTCTCCAGCACCCCGCTGAAAGGAGGAGGGGGGCTGGCGAATTGGAGAGTGTAACCCTTCTTTATTAATCTCGCCATCCACTCGTTCATGGGCAGATTTTGCCACGCGCAGCAACGCTCTGAAAGCGGGCGAGCAAAAATCTGGGGGGCCTCTGTGGACATTTCTGACAGCCAGAGAAGAGCCCTCTCCGCCGCCGTGTGAGCTGCAGAGCCGCTCGACACGGCCCATGGGAGGGCTGAGTTGAAAGGGCTGCGGCGGCGATAGTGTGAAACACTCGGGCCGCTCATTCTCAGTGTCAGACTCGTGCCACGGTGAAAAACCTCCACTAACACACACTGAAGGGTGAGAGGTGGGAAGGCCGCAGAGAGGCAGGGAGTGCGGGTGGGCTGTTGTGTTTATCTGATGTGAATGTTTTTCACTCATGATAATATGAGAGAGGGACAACAGCGGCTCAACAACTGACGCAGCGTGTGCGTGCGCAGCGGAGCTTGCTTGTGTGTGGGAGACGTGCGTTTCATCAGCTGCAGGAAGCTCAGGGAGAGAGGGGCAGGCTGACTGTTAGGAACATGCTCTTTATGGACATTTGGTTGGCTCTGAAAAGAGCCGTTGTGTCCGGCTGTTCCGGGAAGAAAACACACGTCCCCCGCGTCCCGTCAATACCTCCGCTGTTTGCGGGGAGGCTCGGCGGGGGGGTTGGACCAGGAGCAAGCCGCTCGCCTGTTCTTGACTGCAGGGCGGCGCTGTGAAGAGGGAGCAGCGGCCGCCGGAGGAGCCCGGGGGGCCTCGGCTGGAGCCGGCGGAGGCGCAGCCGCGGCCGCGGGGCGCCTCGGCCTGGGGCGGGAGTCGCGGCGATCACGCCGGGAGCCCTGTGAGCGCCGTGGGTGTTGAGGTGGCGCTCTGCTCCACGCTGTGTGCCGCTTCACCTTGTCCGCCTCGTCTGAAGCTTGCTGCATGTGTGTGATTGCATCCTGGAGGAGCGGCCCAAACAGCCCATCGGGGCTGATGGGGCCGTCCAGCAACTCCTTCCTGATCTGCTCCGGCAGACATGTGCAGCCACATGTTGCGTTGCAGCACCGTCATCCACGCCATAATCCGGGACTGGCCGACCGCCGCCGCTGTGGCGAGCGTCAAAATGGCGGCCGCGGCTTTCCCAAACTCGCTGGCGAGCTCGGGGGAAAGCGCGTCGGGCTGAGCAGCGACAGATGACATGGACGAGGCCAGCAGCGATATGTTGTTGATGGCGGCTGTTACCTGGGCGGCGCACTGGTGGGAGCGGTCCGTGACTCGAGTCGTCACCTGGTCGCGGGCGGAGGGCGGAGTCGGCTTCCTCCTGCCGAAAAAAGTGGCTTTAGGCAGCAGGATGGCTGCCAGGCTGGGCTCCAGAGGTGGGACAGAGGGAAACCCACGGTCAGTGAGGCCCTCGACCTTCGTGAAGTTGACGTACCTCGCCACCGGCGCCTTCAGCTTCCCAGGCTCGGCCCCCGCTTCGGAGAGAAAAGGCTGAAGCGGTGGAAAAAGGGGCCACACAGGAACCTGTTTGGACGCTTGCTCTGGCTGGTAGATGTCGCCGAGCATGGCGCTAGGAGCAGGTGCAGGAGGCTCAGCAGGCATCGGCACGCCCTTGCGCTCAGCAGCCGTCTTTTATTATGTCGGGGAGATCCCGGAGGAGAGCCCCGCAGGACGGCAAGCTGGAAGGCGGAAGTGGAGCAGGAGCCAGCGACGCCGCCTTCTCATCCAAGTCAAAAACCAGGTCTTCCAGCGGGAAGAGGGGAGAGCCTGGCGGGGAGCCAGCAATGGAGGGAGCAGAGTCAGAGGACTCGAGCCCTGCATCGCCAGCAGTCCCGCCGGCGAGGTCCGCCGTGAAGCTAACTGGCTTAGCCCAGCTAGCTTCGTCGTCCTCCTCCTCCTGCAGGGCCGCGAAGGCGTCGACCCGCCGTCGCTTCTCCTCCACGGGCAGCTGTGCGCAGTAGGGGCACGAGGCCCGGGGAGTCAGAGCCAGGCCAGCGTGCTGAGGACCGAGGCAGGTCTCGCAGCGGGCATGGAGATCAAACCCCATGATGTAGCCGGCGTGGCAGGACGGGCAGAGGCGGACTCCTTCCGAGCGGCGGACCTCAGCGGTAGAGCGGTGAGTAGCCATAGGAAAAGCTCTTTAGTAGGAAAATTGCTCTTTAGACGCTACTCTGCTCTCCGAAATGACTGCTATGCAGCGCTGAAGAAAAAAGGGGAGCAGATCTCTGGTCTCGCCGGTATTATATACCTAAATTGCGGACCTGAGAGAGGCCCGTGCACGGCACATGGGCGCGAAAGAAATCTTCAGGACTGCGCATGCGCGCGGGGATGAACCCAATAGCGACAGCTCTTAGAGGGCGAAGCCTATACGAAATAGAACTACCAGTTTTCTCCCAATAAGTTAATATATACCCTATTACAATACACATTTCAACATTTAATGCTGTAAATAAACATGTAAAAAGAAAATAAATGTCCAATAAATGTTTTTAAAGTGAATGGATACAAAACTGTAAACCTAACCCTGGGTCGCATGTGTAGGTGTAGCGTGTAGTGGCAGGAGGAACACTTGCTGAAGAGACGAGCCCCAGCTTCACCACTGTTGTGCCAAGTTGTCCGCACATCGTGGGACTTTCGGGTAATTTATGACCGTTGATGAACCACACAAATATTACATCGTTTTTAAACAGCCGCTACTTGAAATAGACTCGCGAGTAACCGTGCCATGCATGCAGTTGTCGGCAGCACGGCAAAAACTCTGCACAAGACCAGTCAATGGCAGGCAAGAGACAGAGAGAAAATGTTCAACAATAAGTCTCAGTTTAGCTTCGGCTCGCCGTGCACAAAAACACACATGATTTGACTATGTAAATCCTTAGTCAGGGACAGCCCTAGATGTTAGTTAAAGTTACATTTGGGTCTGTTAAGGGATGGTAAGGTAGCTCTTTACTTATCCACAGGGGGAAATTTCAGTCTCACAACAGCAGAGATATGTCAGGAATAGAAAATGTATAATGTATAAGATAGTAAGTAAGCAAATAATGTCCATATGTGTAGTCAGTATATGCACATTCGATATCTGAGCTAATATGATACGCTAATTTCAGCGCAGATACCGAAACGACATTTTTCCACTACCTTAGTTTGGAGAATATAGTGTATGTTATATTTACTTTATGCCAAAGTGTATAAAGCATCAACATCAACAAGAGCTTTGCTGACTGATTAACTGATGAAACTCACTATTTAAGTTACTGTAACAAAAAAAAAGTTGGCAACAACTCACTCTCTAGGGCTCTCAGACCTCCGAGGACGACGTTCATGGGACGGGCTTCGGGACCTGTGTCGATCATAGCTGCGGCTCCGGGACCGTCTTCGGCGGCTATCCCGATCGTCGTCGTAGCGGGAGAAACTGCGAGGAGAGTGGCGCTCCTTGGCCTTCATCTGGTTAGGGGCTTTATGGACAAATTTACATCAGGACATTAGGTATTACAAAACAACACTGAATGAGGGTTTACAAAGGTTAAATGTATGCTGCTTAGATAGTAATGCAAATTGTTCATACTCTTTCTGTCTCCCTGAGCAAACTGGATCTCGATCTGACGCCCACAAACCCATTTACGGTCCAGGTTGTGAAGAGCGTCTTCTGCATCCCGCACATCTTCAAATGTGCTACATTGTTAAGGCCTTTTATTTTTTTAATTAGTAGAGTTGGGACAGAGAAGTCTGCACACATGCACAACAATTACAAAAAAGGCTGCAACACAGTTTGTCAGCTCCAGTCTATGAAACACAGCTAATAGAATTAGAACAGTGCTGAGAAAAATCACTTCAGGCAATGATTTAAAACTGAAAATTAACGAATTTTGTCTTCAGGCAGCAATTAAACAACATAAAACTGAATCAATAGGCCCATTTGGGATATCAAATTGTGAGGACAAAATAAATATTGACGGTGATCAGATTCGGTAGGATACAAAAACTTTAGCTTGTTACCTTTAACATGCTTGACCTTTGACCTTCAGCTTGATCTTTATTGTCTTGGCAGAAGAACTTGAGATTTCCTGCTCGTCTTTGCCCAATAAACACTTTGCTTTTCCTCCCTTTTGGTAGACAAATGGAAGCCTTGGTGCTCTCTTTTCTCCTCTTTGTATCTTCATTCTTTTGCTCTCTCTTTATTTTCCCAATTCCACTACTGCTTGTCGCCCGTGTGTCTTTGGCTTGAATCTACTCTACAACCGCCTTTCAACTTTCTTTGGTGTGGGGTGTCCAGAACTGTATCTTTACCATTCTAAGGCAACAACAGAAGAAATATTGGTTAGGATAAGTTTAAATCTGTAAAAACAATATTGTAGATAACAAACAATTCATAGAAAGTAAAATTGCATTTAAAAAAACATTCCCATACAATGGGACAAACAGTTGTGATATAAAAATAAAAGAGACTCCTCCTAAAAAACATTGTCAGGTCAGGTGCCGTGATATCCACTGCAACCAAAAAGTTAGATTAATGCTTTGCAATCCCTCAGTGAAAACACCATTTCCAAATTATAATTAAAAGAATAAAGGATATTGAATGTAAGCAAATCCTCTTGTCCGTCGTGTATGGAAGTCAAGTGGAATGTAGACATCTACAATAGGCCCATAACGACCAAACTCACGACGTAAATCCTCTGGCCTAAAGTATCATGAAATAAGCACATTTATTCTGTTGGCTATCATATGAATTTAGCTGTAGCCCAGTGTGCAAGGTATACACAAGAGCTGGTGCCAGCACAGCATAAGACAATACTTTACAGACAAATCTAGTATTTACTGTCCCACTTCAAAAGCCCAGTCAGTCAACTTCACACATCCATAGCAGCCAGATATGGCGTGCGTTATCTATTAACAGAGGTGGCAAAGTCACAGGGGTAACCGAATTATGTATAACGTTACATTTCTGGGAGCTATTTCTTTCAATGCACAACATTCACATCCATTGTATTGGGGTGGCAGTATGAGCTTCAGACACAAATATTTCAAAACAATGGCAGATAAAACCCAAACCATCTAAACAGCTAAAAAAAACTCTTGGCGTAACTGAGAGAGCATGTCTTTCTGTGAACTTTAATAGCATTGTATAATTCAGGTTTCATTATGAACAGCAACTTAATGTGCAAGATTGTTTTTGCATTGGACAGTGTTTGATGAAGAATTTTGCCTTTAAAAAAAAATACGTTTCCAACATTTGAATGAACAGTTAACTTTAGTTTAACTTGTGTAGCTTTACTAAGAGTAACTTATGTATGCAATGTTTAGAAATTGGACAAGCTAACGTTAGTAACGTTAGCTAAAATAAAACTGGATTTGTGAAAAATAGACTTGCTGTTACCTAACAGTTAACTTTGCATACATGTAACGTAGTTAAAGCGAAACGCCACACCTTAGTATTGCAGTCACGTAACATTATTAAGTTACGTCCAGAATATAAAAAGCAACTCGTCTTATGTGGGAGAAACGCTAACTTAAGCTGCAACAACACAGTCTTCCAACACAGTCTTGTCGTTTGCTAGGTATTATAGCAAACCATTTGTAGGGAAATGTGTTTATGATAGCTGTTAGCAGATATCTGGGGCAATATTCGTTTGAAAAAATAACTACAACGCCCTTTTTGCCTCCCTGCCTGGGATCACTCGTAACGCTGACGTCAGTTAAATATTTTGGTAATGACATACATGTTTGCTGACTAACTAGCATTACGTTAGCTTGACCATGCTTGCTTACACGCCAGCAGGGGTTAAAAATGACAACATACCTGGAGTCGTCGGCGATGTTTCTAACGAAGAGAGATGTATTAGGCGGCCTTAGATACCTCGCCATTTTTTAACAACCCGTTGCTACAATTTGGCTGCCGTGAATGTGTTTATTACTGCTTTATTTTCACAAACCCTGATGCTTTACTGCAGCTGACACGAACTACATAGTCAAAGTGTTCTCTTTGCACTGCGCATGCTCACAGATGTACAGCCACGACACACACACACACACACACACACACACAGAGTACCTGGTATCTACTTATTCTACTATTCCATTAGGCTATTTATTCATTTTTAGATTATTATTTATTGCATAGTATCTGCTCACCGCTTATCTGTCAGACACAGTAAGGATGCGGGAAGAAGGCCAGTCAAAGAGAGTCATGGGCATTTGTGCGAACAATAACGCACAACACGCTTATTAAGCAACACTTTTATTTAAATAGACATTGTTTCTTCACTGCCAGAGTTACACCTTTTTGCTCCTCCTGACGAGGGTTGTTGAGCCCATGGTCAAAGTCTGAAAGGAGATAAAGGAAAAGGAAACAGACTGAATGTGTGGCGTGGATATAAATACATTATTTAAACCAGTGGTTCTCGTAGTGGGTTCCGGGGACCCCCATGGGTCCTTGAGGAGGTTCCAGGAGGTCCCCAGCAAAAAGAGGAATAATTTATTTTCATTCATCATTATAATTCCATCCATAAGTAACACAATGACTAAATGGATGACATTTTGGGTCATGGGTTTCATACACTTTCTGTAATGAAACATCTAAAAGGTAAAATCCAATCAAACGGGGGACTTGCGGACAAACTCTTATCAAATTGGGGTCTAATTTGTGTCAGTTTAGGGGTGAAAAAATGTTGTGTGAAAAAGTTTGAGAACCACTGATTTAAACCTACTTACATTAAAGTGAAACATTCAATAGTGACTACATTTTTATTTTATTTGGTCTTGGAGATATGTGTGTAAGAAAGAGTGAGTTCTGGTAAGATGTGGCCAACTGTACCTCAACCATCTCTCCTCCTTTGATCTCTTGGATGTGGCAGAACTTGCCAGTGTTGCAGACCATTTTGTCACCCTCCAGATTGACAGTGCACTGGAGGTCAGAAGAGGAGACAATACATATCAGAAATACCCCTAAACATGGTTAGGGTTAGGGTTAGGGAATAAAACAATCATCATCATCACTGACACAATTAATAGCGTTCAAGAGATGCGGTACACTTGCAGGCTCAACACAGTATAAAATAATAGATTTATACTGTATGAAATCAGGTAATATATTTATGCACTGATACGACATAAAACAACTGTGAAGCTGCTATGTCTGTTGCAAATTAAAACGTAAATTAGAATTACAAACTTTGATCTTCTTGCCGTCCATGGTGGTGATATCAGCCTCCTTGCCAATGGTAAAGGAGTTGGTCACAGTCTTTCCAGGGGTCTTGGAGGTGACAACAAAGTCATTGCCATTCTGCTTGATCTCAGTAATTGGTTTGATGTCCTTGGCCATCTTTATGACATCTGCTGGAAGTTCTGGTAAGCATAGCACAAGTTCTTTTTTGTTCATTCCTGCAGTAAGGAATAATGAATCTCTTAACTGCAACTGTTGACTGTGTGGTTATAATATAAAGAAGAAGTCTTTAACCACAACAAAATGGCCACTTTGTCTTCAACTACCGAAGATAATATATTTTTTTATAATCTTTATATGCCGACCCCTGCAGCTCTACCAGAGCCCCTGGTTTGTTTTCTCTCACCCATGGCCCTGAGGAACTCCTCGTAGTTCTCCTGGGAGTAGACCTGCCATGTTCCATTGAAGGCCATGTTTTCTAGAAGATTTGGATTCTCCTTCACCAAGGTGGGCTGGAGGCTGAGACGGCTGTGAAGCTCAACACAACGTCGAGGATGTCACTGTGGTGCTGCACCTTTTTATATAGGAAAGCAAGGGGTCTCCCTGTACCATGTCTAATGAGTAACAAGTCCCTCTGAAGTAATCACTGCTGTTTGAACAACCTGGAGGTCATTTACTCCTGTTTGGCCAAACCTTAACTTCCACCAAAGATGAATTTAGGTGATACATTTTGTCATGTTGTGTGTTCAAGAACTTCACTGATTTTTGTACATCAACAAACAGACATGAACAATCAATAAATTGTGATCTACAGTGTCGCAGAACCCTGACTGAAGATGGAAATTAAAATTAAAATGAGAAAATACTTTATGTAATAAACTATTAGACATACCTAACATTTGTTTCATTTCAGGACTCATTCATTGAACTTTAGATCTTAAATTAACTTCATGCACATCTGAAACCTTTCAGCAGTGTGCCATTAAACCTGACTAGGACCCAGTAGGGGTTAATGACACTGCGGACTGTTTGCTTTTGAAGTACAAGACTGTGCTTGCAAAATCAGCACATAGAGAGCTGTAGTCCTCATTTTAATAGGCTATTTTATTAATTATTAAAGTTTACTTAATACGAATATTAAGATGAAATATAGTGCAAGTGCTCATAAAAATAATACACTAGCGAAAATCACTTGAAATTGCTTTATTCACTACACACACACTAAAATGACACATGTAATTAAACATTTACTCTACAGTCCAGTAGCTGAGGGTTTTGCAGGTTTATGTCAAATGCTGGTGTAACTTTTATTGGACAGTTATCAAATATGGGTAAATGATAAAATGTAACAGTCGCACAAGTAGAGAAGAGTAAAAGTCAGCAAACTCGCTCTGTCATGTCAAAGCAACATCTAAACTTGCTAATTCAGTAGCTTAACATTAGCTATCATATAAAAGACCAAGTAAGTCTGCAGCAGCAAATCTACTGAATACATTGAATTAAGCAATGGTGCGTATACGGCTACAGCTTATGAATTCAGCTTTTCAGCTAAATGAGATGACTATCAGGACTTTGCAATTCTGCGTCTCCGCATCTCTATCACAAGAGAAGCAAAAGGATGTGATTTTTATGACAGAGGCCTACACTGTCTAGTATTAAAATTATATGGACAGTTTGCAGACTATAGGGGATTATATATTTTTTTTATTCCACCTCAGTGGACATGCTCAGTAAAGTTCCTTCATGCGCAATAAAGTTCCTTATACATGAATTTACCATCATTCAATCTCACCATCTATCTATCCATCCACTTTCAACCTCTTCTTTCTCTCTATGCAGATATATAATTTAGATTGCAAGTAGAGAGTGAATGTCATCTATCAGTCCATCTATCTTCGGTAAGAAATCTCAATCTGAAGCACAAAAACCCTGCAGTAAATTAATTTCTGACTCAGTTTGCAATCTTAACCCATCTCTACAGCATTTGCCGGAGGCTTCTGCCCATGCTTGTAAACGCTCACGGTCACATCAACTGTTTCAGAGCCATACTGGTTGCGCACAAAGATGCTGTATTTTCCAGAATCTTCCATGTTGACGCCATTGACAGTGATGGTGCTGCATTTGGGCGTGTTGGCGATGGTAAATTGGGTCTGGTTAACAATCTCCCTGTCGTTCCTAAGCCAAAAGATCTCCGGGGCTGGTTCACCGTCGATGAAGCATGTCAGACACAAAGACTGAAGAGAGGATCAGGAGGAGACAAGAGACAGTAAGATTCTTGCAATTGTGTATTAATGTGTCTCTAAATAGTAATGTTTTCCTAAGTATGACGTGCCTTTCCCTCCATGATGGCTACAACATCAGGAAGACCCTTTGTCACTTTGGCCCGATCTGAAACAAACAAGTAACAGTAACTCCCTGCAGACAATCACTTTACAACCTTTTAGTCTTTGTTGTGGGCAGAAATAACACATAACCTGTGACTCACTTTTCTCAGCAATGGCCACTTGCCTGAGGGATGAAAACATAAGGTCAAACATATATGACATTGTACAGTGTCAGGTGACAATAATCTGTCTCTTAGATGTTTTCTGTGAATAGTTTTCAACTAATAATAAATAAATAATAAAAAGCTCTGACTACTCAGTGTTTTCTGTTAGTGCCACAGCAAGCCATGTTAGACGCATCATCATCATGCATGTAGGGCAGCACTTACTTCAACCTCTGGTACTCCAGCATTGCATCAGCAAAGGCTGTTGAAAATAAAAATAACAATAATCATGATTGAGAATGACAAAAAAGTATACGTATCATACCTCTTTAACAGAAATTGTGTTTTAGATCCTTTAAATAAAATCTGTGTTTTGTAATTCCCACCCACCTTGTCCAGACAGGTCAAGATACCGCTTGTGTGTCTCTTCACCATCGAACATCTCCAAGGTGTATTTGCCTTTATCATTTTCTGTTGGGTTAAAGATTTCAAGCCAGACATTCTGCATACTGCTCCCAGCCTTGGTCCTGGCTTCCAGGTCAATCCTCTTCTCCCTAAATGGAAGGGAGCATAGATAAATTTTTTGCTAATACTACATATGCTTCACACCAGAAGTTTTCAAAGTGGGAGGCGGACCTCCCCAGGGGGGCTCCAAACAGTTTCAGGTAGGCTCAGTGAATGGAAGTGAAATAATAATATCACATTAATAAAATCACATTATTATGAGTTATCAATACATAAAATAACCTAAATGTGTGTGATTCGGTAGAAGAGACAGTTCAGAGATACCGTAATTAAGGGGAAATTTACTGTGTGTTCCACTTTTACTAACAAATGTCTTAAGACAGACCTTTTTATGTATATGGTGTAGTCTGACATTGTGAAATATGAAGTTAACAGTAATATTAGCAATCTCGGCTCAGTTGTTGAGTGTCTGTGTGATCATATGACATTGATTGATTGATGTTCTAGCAGATTTCCATTGTGGTCTTTTTTTGGAAGGCAAATGTGTAGGGAGCATCATGAATAGGCAACTAGTTAGTTATTAGCAGCTTCCAAGTACACATCGTTTCTCTTAAAAAAATTAAATTAAAAATAAAAAACAATACAATATAAAATAATACTAATCCTTACACATTCCTACATATAATACTATTTCTGTCACAACATTACTATACAATATAAAAGGAAGTTCACTAAATTTTACAAAAATTGAATAGGCCTGTACAATGCAAAATTAACACTGAGATTTAAGACTTAAACCTAACTAAAGAGTTGATCATCTCAATGCTCATCGGTAGCCCATTCCACATAATGGCAGCTGAATACAGGAAAGTGTCCTTTCCCATACAACACCTAATGGGAACCAAATCAGTTGTACTCTCTCTTGT